ATCGCCGGTTCTCGCCCACGTCTCGCGGCCATTCGCACCGCACCGTGAACCGAGGTGCGTGCGTGTAATGGTTACGTTACGGGTTATGTTATCCTATCGGAATGGAAAAAGAGAGAGAGAGAGAGAGAGAGAGAGAGAGAGAGAGAGAGAGAGAGCAGAGAGAGAGAGAGAGAGAGAGAGAGAGAGAGAGAGAGAGAGAGAGAGAGAGAGAGAGAGAGAGAGAGAGAGAGAGAGAGAGAGAGCCTGAAGACGCAGGTTGATGGAAGAAGATGCAGGGGAAAGAGAAGAAGGGGGAGGAGGAGGAGGAGGAGGAGGAGGAGGAGCAAGGCAGGAAGGTAAGGCCAGAGTTCGCTCCATTCATGCCGGCGTGTGTATGTACGTACGGTCGGCGTACCCATCGCACGTGCACCGTTGCACTTGGCAGTGAACGCGGCGAGATGCCACGATAGTCGCAGTGATTCTCATGGGAGATTTCTCTCGCGCTCTCGTCGGGGATAGACGAGTCTGTCTATCGCCGCTGTACATCTGTCCATCCGTCCGTTCCTCTTCTGAAAGTGCGACAGAAAAGAAGAAACGCAAACTGCAAATGTTTTCTCGTACCGCGCTTGCGAGAGAGAGGGAGAGAGGGAGAGAGAGAGAGAGAGAGAGAGAGAGAGAGAGAGAGAGAGAGAGAGAAAGAAACACAAAAGCACATCAGATCCCTCCACGTGGGCACATGTGAGCGATGATAACATCGCGAGAGATGTACGCTTCGAGATTTATATTCTCGGATGGAAGTCGAGCTCTTCGAGGCGTTCTAAAGCGCGAGAGACGTACAAACGTACGTACGTATGTACTTACTTTTGTTCATCTGTGAGTGAGAAAGGGGGATCGCCCCGGGGAAAGGAGGAAGGAGCAGGGGAAATCGGCGAGTCCACGAGTGGAAGAGCCGACACGTGAGGGAGCGGCGGTGGAATTTTCGCGATTAAATCGTACGCGATGAATTCCGCGAATCATTCGACGGACGCAGCGAAGAGACGCGTTTTATTTTTTTTTCATCCGCGCGTTTCTAATTTTCAGCGCACGAACGAGTCGTACGTTGCGCGCGTCTTCGCGACACGCGAGCGCGGTGCTCGGCGAAGTTTTCCATTAGCGGGAAATGGGGTAACAACGGATAACGACGCTAATGCACGCGTACGTCAAGCTGCATTTCACTTCAACGGACGTCACAATATATCTATATAGATACGCCCTGCATCCGCGCGCGCGCGCACTAATTAAATGTGCAGGAACTCGCAAGGACGGCTTACATCGGGCTGAGGGTGTCCCGGGGGCTATGGCAAAACGCTCACGTCCGCCCGGAAGTGTTCGTAACAAAATCTTCGCGCCGCGGGATCCCCTTGTCCAATGTAGCGGGATTAAAATCCTCTCAACGGAAGGAGGAGGAGGGCGGGCGAGGAGCGGCGAGGGAGAAGGAAGCGCCGTCGTTGTCCTCCTCGCCGACCTCGCCGACGTCGTCGTCGTCGTCGCCGGCGAGAAGGACTTCCGGTTTTGCACCATTAACTAACTTGGCTTGTTTCTCGCTCGACGCGAGCTTCTCCGGCCAACCCTCGAGTGTCCTTTACTACTGCGGCCCCTCGGCAGTGCCGTACTTACGTTCGCCGGGACTAATGACGGCCTCGACGGTCGCTCGCCGCATCGCGTTATGCTCCTCGAGAATGTGGCGAGAGGGTAAAGGCGAGGGTAAGCGAGAGGATGGAGAGCGAGGAGCTGGTTATTAGGCACGTCCTTGTGTGTTTGACGCGCATCAGGGATAACGACGGAATAATGGCCGCCACGGATTAAGATTCTTTCAACTCGCGCCGCGCCGGTCGACTTCGAGGTCGTCTATTGATTCAATGATCAATTACCGTCGGGGATCTTCACAGCCGAGTTTTCCCGCGGGGCGGGGGGATGGGAGGGGATCTCGCGCTATCGCGCGAATTTATCGTCACTGACACGTCGTCGAGTGTCGGTGACGATTACGTGAGACGCTGCGCAGTCACGATACCGAGATACCGTTTTGTCCGTTCACTATGGGGGATGGAAATGAACGCGTGAAAAATACGAATGCTGGAGTGAACCAAGGGGAAGCGATTTTTTGCGCGCGGCCAAGTGTGAGAGGAGAAGGAAGCCGCGATGTGACACGGCAGCGGCGAGTGAGCGAGATGCTCCGCCATTTAATCGCAGTTTCGTGAAATATCTCGCGTCATTATCGCATACGTAGAACCGTGCGCGGCTTCGTCTAATCTCTTTTTTGGAGGCAGACGGTGCAGCTCGTCCTGCTATTCAGACGCGAAGGATGCGCACGTACCACGCGCGGGAGATTGCCGCGATAGTAATTGCGAGCTCTGGAGAACAAACATCCTTGGTGATGATAGCACTTTAGTACCCCTCTGTCTCTCCCTCTCTCTCTCTCTTTCTCCTTCTCTATCCCGTCCCTCTGTATGGCACCCTCCTAAATGTCTGGCAAATCGCTATCATAACTGCCGCAAGTTAATGTCGCGTCTCGAGTTAATCTATCGCGTAAAATACCTCCCCCCCTCCCGCCATTCCCCGGAGCCTCGTCGCCTAAGGTCGCCTCCTAGACGACGTATTCTGCGCGACCAAGTCAGTGTCGATGTTAAACCGATGTTCCTCCCTGCCCTCGGGGGCCCTCGCTATCGTTACGACGAGCACGCGGAATCTCGATTGAAAGTCCCATTTTCGGGCGATCACGGCGAGTCGTGCTCTGCACGCGGCCGAACGTGCAAGTATTTCTGACCCTCAAGCTCGCAATTTTTTCGGCTGCGCTTCCGGCCGGGCGTGCGCGGAATTCGAGTGGAGCTTCCTGCTGCGTCTCCTTCTTCTGTTCTCTCTTTTCGCACACACACTACGCCACGTTCAAAGCAGACCGGGGATTGTCACGGATCGAAGCGCTTCTTTTATGTTACGTCTTAAGAGTCGCCGTCGCCGTCGCCGTCGCCGTCGCCGGCGCGTCACCCCGTCGTCGTCGTCGAGGACGACAAAGGGAGGAAGAGTCGTTAGATCGTGGAATTATATCGGCCGGGGTAGGCCACGACGAAAGGTCCTTATTCCTCCACTCGCCACGCCAAGCCCGACGTCATTTTCCTACTAATCGATGTCTCGAGTTCCTCGGCACGGCAAACTCCGACGCGGAATCTTTCGAGTTTCAATTTCTCGGACAAATCGACGAGTGACGATAATAAACTTCGCGCCAAAGTCAATCGACTCGAAAGTTTGAGTGCGCTCGCTCGCTCGCTCGCTCGCCTGAATCGTTCCTGCGGAATCCTTTTTCCATGCGTTTCCTCCGGGGACACGTTTCCCATTGAAAAGTTAAACGCGCGCGCGCGCGCGCGCGCGCACGCCTGCCTGCTCAGCGTATCTTCGACTATGGGATTATGGTCTTCCGGTAATTGTTTTAGCTGTTCGTCGATGTAACTTTCGACGACTGCGTCGTCGCGCGTGGCGCGCCAAACTTTCGCGGGCGTTAATTAACTGCTAATTGGATCTTATTAATCGGGGACTTTGCGCCGCGTGCTGCCGCGGCACATTCTATCGGCATTGCTTCCTCTACGTTAATAGAGGGCACACGGAGTCCCTGCGGATCGCCCTTCTCCCTCTCTCCCTTTGTCTTTCTGCCGGTTTAACGTAATGGCCGAGACCCGACCGCCGCGGGGAAAACCGAGCAAAAAGTTCCACGAGCTCGCCGTCCGACGTTGGCCGAGTCGCAGACTTTTACGTATATACATCGCGAACAACGAACAACGAAAGCGCGTACGGATCTACCTCGGCTTGCACGCGCAGCGAAATCCGCGCGTCGGGACTTCTCGCTTCTCGTTCATTGGCGATTACGTCGGTCAAACTCGACCGATTCGTTTCAGCGGCGAGAGAGAACGGCAGAGCGTAGAAGAAGGCAGATTTACGCCCGTTTATGCGCATTTTCGCGCACGCGGCAGGCGAAGAAACCTCGATGCACGCGTCATCGCGGAGAATTCGCTACCCTGGTTCTCGCTTTCCTGGTGAATTATTGGGTATTAAACTTGATTTTTAAGGATGTACAAGAGATGGCGCAGTGAGCACCTAATGGCATCGGCACATACTGATGCCAGCTTCGTATGAAAGCCCAGTCCATTAGGCTTTAAGAATCAGTATGTTTCATTCGGTCCAAGTGTAAATAACATATTTCTTTAGCGCATTCAATATGTCGATTTTCGTGCCAACGAGACGCAATTTGCGGGAAGCGTTACTTTTTCGTTTCCATTTGAAAAAATCGGCGGCTGAAAGTCTTCGTTTGCTGTCCGAAGCTTATGGGGATTATGCTCCACCGATCTCAACTTGCGAGTACTGGTTTAGACGATTCAAAAGTGAAGATTTTCCACTTATCCATCGTTCGAAGGTAATGCCTCTGTATTTGGTGAGATCAGAAGGGTGTGATCTATTATGAGCTGCTAAAACCTGCCGCGAAACCATTACTGGGGATCGTTATCGACTCGGCCACATGTCCCTAAACCGGTGAAGGAAACGCTTGAGCTGCTTGAATGGGATGTTCCAGCCCACCCGTCGTATTCACCAGACATTGCTCCTTCTGATCTCCACTTGGTTCGAGATCCATGCAGAATCACCTTTCTGCCCAGCACTTCTCAGTTCTTTAGAAGATATGGCAAAAAATGGCTCGATTCACGGATAAGCACAAAAGACGAGTCGTTCTTCCGCCGAGGAATCCGCCTTTCACTAGAAAGATGGGAAAAGGTTGCAGCTAACGATGGACATTACTTTAAATAACATGTACTTGTCACTTTGTTTCGAAATAAACGTTCATTTTCGCAAAAAAATCCTTTAAAATCAAGTTTAATACCCAATAGGAGGAATCGTGCGACAGCGAAGGTTCCACGGCGCGCTGGAACGCCATGAAACTCCCGTAACACGAAGACTCTCTCCCGCGCGCGCGCGAGCCTCGATAACCCGGCCGGCGCTGTAATTAAAGTTTTGTTACGTAACGAGAAATGTACTCGCGATTGCAGGATGCAGATACGAGGGCCGCCGCTATCAGGAAGGAACGGCCGTGAGTACGTCCGAGCCCTGCCTGCGCTGCCGATGCGCCGACGGCGCACTGAGATGCCGGCTACGGGTGTGCCCGCGACTGCCGAACCCACCACCGTCGGGCTGCCACATTCGTGCACCGGCCGAGAATGTATGCTGCGCCGAGTTGGTATGCGGCGGACCACGTTAGTAACGACGAGACGTCCCTCTGATTAATCGCGATTTGCCTCGCCGATAATATGTGAATAACTTGCCTGCGGATCGCGAACCGTTCCGCGGCCGAACTCAAGCCGCCCCCTCCCCCCCTCCCTCCTCCCGCAACCCCCTCCTACCTACGGTGCAATCGAGGAGGTCATATGCAGAAATTGCAGAAAAGTAATGTATTACAGGCATTTGCAAGTATAATTTGCAAATTATTTGCATATTATTTGCAAATAATATTTATAATAATACCTATCCATATTATTTGCAAATAAGCACGTAAATTTTTAAATTATCAATTAAAAGGGCTTCTCTGAATGTGGTAATTTTCAATAATTAATAACTGAATAACTATCGCGAGTTTTGCAAAATGGTACAAAATGGACTTTTCTCCTCAGTTCGATCTGATTAATCTTCGCAATTTTTCGTTTCCAAAAGATCCCGGACACCTTGTACATTAAAAATAATATACAAATGATATGTAAATAATGGAGGAATAATGCACAATAGTTCCTCGAGGGATGAAATATTAATATACAATATTTTCCTGTTAATAACGTTGATGTCGAACATTCCTCGTGTAATAAAAAATTCGCGCGATGAAAAGAATCTCTGTTTGCGCGTAGCAACTCGGCGAATATAGTGATTTAATTATTCAACGCCCGGGGAGGTTATTATTATCGCGGCGCGTCGATGGAGTCTGTGTTCGTCGCACACGCGCCGTCGCGCCGTCTCGCGCTTTCCTTCCTGCGCGAAATCCGTCGCGTTAAAACGCGCGCATAAAAGTTTCGGCTTCGCGGCAAAGCAGATTAAAGAGTTAATCGTGGCCAGGGCTTAAATTTATTATCTGACTTACAGGCGACGTCGAGAATATATTGCGGAGAGCCGGTATACAAACGAACGCGGAAGCCGCGGATGAGAGGCACCCTCACCACTCACATACAGAAGGTACTGCTACTTTGTTGATGTTGTGTGCTTTATTATTTATCCCCCGACCGGGGGCTAGATATCGCGATAGAGTTCGCGGGTATACTTACTTTTTTCGCGGAATGTCGCCGCTGCGCGCGCGCGCGAAGCAGCCGCGAGGCTGCTCGCGACGACCGCGATACGGTCGAACGATAATTCGTCTAATTCTTTCTCACAACGAGCGAGATCAATCGCGCTCAATCGTGAGAGACAATGTATGTAATTCGTTTCCTCAGCGATCGCGCGAGACGCGTCGAAATGTCTCTTTCTCTTTTAGTCAATCTCCATCTGTACTCGCGCAGAGAGGATACGCTGTTATTTTTATAATAATTTCCATTCTCTAACTTCGTCCCTGAAAAGAGCGTCTGGGTTGGCTCTCGGCGGTAAATAAATGAGCCTCGTTACGCCCGAGTAAACTTGAGTAAATAAATTGAGGTAGGTAGAGAACAGTCAGCTAAACTCGGGTATAACACAGAAGGGGTTAAGATGGCTCGTTACTGTTGAAACGAGCGTAATTCTAAATTAATTCAGGATTTCTTTGCCACCGCAAAGTTTATGCCGGTACATTCGTTCATTCCCGCGCGGCATCGCTCCGCCGCGGCGCGGCGCGTGGTGACGCTTCTTTCACTCGCGATAACGAAACGGAATTTTCTACACGTTACGCGCATTACAATTAACGCCGGCCGGCATCTCCGCGCGTGCGACGTTCCTTTGTGCGACGTTGCTTGGAGAGATGCGCTTCCTTTAATACTCATTATTCAATTAACCACAGCCGGTAGATATCTCATTTCGCCACGCATTCGCGCAAACGCGTTCCTTCTCATCAGGACGAATTTTCATCTCGGATATTCTTTTACTCACGGTCGCAGGGAGCCTCTAATTGCGTACGAATGAAAGATTTCGAATCGAAGATTCAGAATCGCAAACGTAACGGACGGTGAAATATACAGCAACACGTTCCTTCCCAGTTACGACGTTTGCTCTCTGCCCTCCTCCCCCCCTCCCACTCCCTCTCGCTCTCTTTCTCGCGTACGCGAAACAACAATCTTTTACGTTACTTCATAAATAAGTAAAGCTCTCGCCTGTCTTGAAAGCATTGTTAAATAAATTACCGGCTACTGGAAACTTGGTCGAACTTCGTTCGAAGCTCACGTACTATCTCGCGAAGAGGAGCGACCTTAACGAGAGCAATTTAACGTAAATTCCGAAAACTCCATTCGATGTTCGATTGCGATGAAAGATCAAACGTTGCGCATAGAAATGGCTCTCTTTAGTAAAGCAGACACATGGCCGTCGTTGCGCACCGATAAAAGCATATCCAAGACTAGAGACGCAGGAGAAGTGTCACTTCGGGAAACGAGCGCGGAGCATCGCGGAGAAACGCGACGGAGGATTACTCGAGAGACGCGGTACGCGCGCGATCACGCCGTCGATCATTTATCTCCGAGAAATTTCCAGCTCGAGGATTTTGCGCGGGATTGCGCGGCACAACGCGGTATCGCCGACGCGTATCAGCCAAGATACACGCGAGAGAGAGAGAGAGAGAGAGAGAGAGAGAGAGACTCGTGACGCGAATGACGAGTCCACCGATACTCTCGCGAAAGCGCTCCTCTCGAAAACGCGAAGCGTCGTCCGAAAAAAAACCGAGTTACCTCGCGGTAGCTTTTTATTTACTTTCGCACGACACGGTTCGTCGCCGAGCCGTCGTTACTCACGCGCACCTGTGCGTCCGTGCGCGCGCCGAACGGCCGCGTCCTGTCGACTCTAAAGGCCGCAGAGAGGAGAGAAAAAAAGCGGAACGAGCGAGAATAAAGCCGAAATGATATTTAGGATGTCTGCACGAGGGGGTCCGATACGGCTCGGGATCGGCGATGATGGGCTCGCGTCGCTGCGAGTACTGCTATTGCATATCCGGCGCGCGGAGGTGCATCCGACCGAAGTGCCTGCTGCCGCTGCCGGGGTGCAGCCCGCTGTACGCACCCCATTCCTGCTGCCCGGTCGCCTACAACTGCACCTGTGAGTGATATTTTTTCTAATTCGACGCGGCGCGGCCGCTCCAAAGTACACCCCGGCAAACCTTTTCTTTCTTCTTTTCAAGACCACCATCCGTCGACGATGGCACCGATATCGGGGAACGGTAAGTTCAAATATTGTCATTTGCGAGGCGGCCCTTAACTAAATTCGGGGAAAGTGGCCGAGCGTTGCTTTGAGAAATTCCCCCGGAAACTCGATAATGCGACCCTTGTTCGCGCCGTTGTTTACGCAGAGGCACACCCCCCGGTGACTTTTAGTAAAGCACACCTCGAGAATCTCTCTCTCTCTCTCTCTCTCGACAAAGTTAAGCGACAAAATATCACCCCCCGCCCCTTTTCGGCGACTAATTAAATACGCACGTCGTGGGACTTTGGGTGAATTCGGCGGCCTCTCGTGAAACACCGGCGACGCAAAGGCCGACGTTCCGCGAAGAGACTAAACTTTTCACAGGGGGGTTAAAGAACCTCCGCGAAAAGGGTCGAATTTTTGCCCGTTTTTCGGTCCTCGATTTTGGAATAGAATTTTATGCCAAAAAATAGTTTATGATGAGACATTAATTACAGAAAAGTTTGACGTTGAGCATACGATTGCTTCCAAAGATGTAGAGGGTCAAAGTGGTCATTACCTACTAAGAAAGTATGACGCTAATAATGCTTTATCGCACGAATTTTTGCAAAATTCGGTATCTATGGGTATTCTTTGAGTTGCTGATTATGAATCTGATGTCAGACTTAAAAAATTCAAGATGGCAGGTGCAACATGACGGACACACATAGTGAAACAATCATTTACTTTTATTGGAACTGTTGTGTTGTGGTTTTTTTGGCTAGCTGATTGCGAATTTTCTATCAGGTTTTCGAAAGTAATTTTTCCAACGACAATTTTTGAGTGGAAAAAATATTCTTTTATTGTTTTTTCATAAAAAGAGTATCAAATTTGTTATATTTAGAAGCTTTTTCATTGCAGTTTCCGTGGCTCTTTATAATTACATATCATTATATCCAATAATATAAAAGTTATCTAAAAATTCAGTTCCGAAGTTATCGGTTTTAAAGTATACCACAACATAACAGTTCTAATAAAAGTAAATAATTGTTTCACTATTTGTGTCCGCTATATTACATCCGCCATCTTGAATTTTTTAAATCTGACATCGAATTCGTAATAAGCAACTCAAAGAACCCATAGATACTGAATTTCGCAAAAATTCGTGCGTTATAAAACGTTATTAGTGTCAAACTTCCTTAGTAGGTAGTGACCACTTTGACCCTCTATATCTCTGAAACCAATCGTATGCTCAATCTAAAACTGTTTTGTGATTAATGTCTTATCATTCCGCATAAAATTTAATTTAAAAATCGGAGATTGAGAAACGGGCACTTTTTGCGGAGGTTCTTTGCGGCATGCGCACGAAAGATAAATAAGATTCGCGTCTCCCTCCCGTGCGTTCTCTTTTTGTTTTTTTTTTTTCCGATGCTCAACTGGGAGTCTCGAGCCGTGAGAGTCCGAAAAAAAGGGGGAAAAAAAAGAGAAAGAGAGAGAGAGAGAGAGAGAGAGATTCAAAGTGGCCAAATTGCACGCTAATAGAGGTCGCATAATGCCGCGAGCCGATGCATAATACAACGGGAGCGAGCCGGAAATTGTTTTACACACATTGTGTCATTGTGCACGGGGAGCGAAGAGAGCGGGGAGAGCATGGCGCGGAGCGAGAATGGCAGATAACTTATTAAAGTTCGCCCGCGGGAGCAGAAAACTTGAAGAAAATCGGGCTATTAGGGATTATTCCGAAATTTACCGTCGCGCGACTAAAGCTCTCGCCGCCGAGGCACGCTCGCGAAAGTTGTGATGAAATGTGTAACTTAATAACGAAGAGTTACTGCTGACGTTATATCACCCCGCGACACTCGCCCCGCAAGGATCCCACCAGCGGATTGCCCGGACGAGGTTCATTTAACGCTCGGTCTCATCGCGGCGGCTGCGACTCAAACTGAGACTTTCGCGAAAATAACACGCGCCGGCGTGTATTACAAAAAAAAAAAAAAAAGAAATGAAACAAAACCATCGCCGCGAGTTCAAAATGTTCACCGGCTCCCCCCTTCTCCCCGTTTCAATCGGTGAACACCGAGCACGCGTGGAGAATTCTTTCCGGGAGAATCGAAGACCCGTATTTTGCATCGCGAATGTTGAATTTCCGAGGGAGGAGAGGAGAGGGGAGGGGAGGGGAGGTAAGACCGGTAGGTATATTAACCGAAACGGCGAGATGAAAATTCTGCTGAAGCTAAAACTCACTTCGAATAAATGAGCGGTTAATGTTTCTCGTCATTCGTCCCGGTGCGGCGGCGTTTTTGTTATTCTTTCTGATCTCAATCGCGAGCGCGTAGCGCACGTCGAGTACGAAAACGTTGCGGAAATTCGCGGAAATTCGCGGAAATTCGCGGAAATTCGCGGAAATTCGCGGAAATTCGGCGGGGGAAAATGCGCGCGGAAAATTTCTACAGCGCGTCCTCCGCGCGTCCGAGGGCTCTCGCCGAGGGTGAATCACCGGCTCCCGGGATCCCGCTCCCGCATTGTTGTTACCGGGGCTCGACAGCCATGGGGAAACGCGTAACGCGATAAAGAAGAGTCAGCGGGCATTTTTCTCCCGCCGTGTGGGCACGCTGGCCAAGAGAGCCTCGGCCGCGGGGATAGCCGAGCTTGCCGTTCATTTAATGCCTGGTTTCACCGCGGCCGCTTAAATTTAAGCTGGGCTTAAAGCAACGTCCGCTACGACGCCGCCACGGCTGTCACTGGCTGCCGAGACATTCGGGGATGGCTTAATTTTAAACGAGCTCACCGGAAACCATCCTCCCCCACCGCGGCGGCGAGCGATGACCGACCATGAAGTCGGTAAATAACGATTCGAACCGCGGCGGCGGCGTTAATTCGAGCCGAACGGGCAAACATCCTCGAGGACGGCGCGGATATCACGGATTTAATGCGGCGACTGCGGGAAAAGAACGGCGAACTCGCCTCTCGCGACGTGGCCTTGCTCAAACGAAACGAGCAGCGGGCCGGGGCAGGGCTACATGTGCGCTTTTCAGCCGGAGAATTGCACGTGGGAAATTGGAGCTAAAATTAGAATAAGAATCAACGTCAACACGCGTCGGGATTAAAGTGGGATCTCACGGTGAAATTCAGCTGCAGAAGAATCGAGCAAAAAATGTTTACTTTCGTTGTACTCGTTATACGTTATGCGCGGAATTTTGCGCATTATTGACTTGATTCTTCCGGTTCGGCGGCTTTTCGGCCGGTCTTTGAACCAAATCTTTTTTCGCGCTCGTCAAAAGGTAAATTGATGACGAACACGAGAGATGTATCCGAACGTCACTGCAGTGGCTCGCAAGGATTAATCTCGGCTTTGTGTCTCTTTTTGTGACGTGGGATCTCATTTGAACTTCAACGTTGACGTCGATTCTTGCTTTAACAAGCAAGCCGTGTGATGAAGCAGTGTCTTGGCCAACACCCGCCAGGTGCCTCTTATTATTTTCCACGGGCCAGCCGAAACGATTCTTACGTCACCGACTACAGGCACACAACGATTCGATAATTCGATAATTCGTTACCGACGACAAAAATCGACGTACCGCAAGAAAATAACATCGGACACGGCGGCGCAGCAGCGCAGGAGGCATTGCTGTTCGCGCGGCCGGAATCTCACGTTTCTCCGGCTGGCGTTTTTCCCTCATTCTCACTCGCCTCCTCGCCTCCTCCGAGCGCATCGCGAGTCCTCCGGGAAGGCCGGATATTTACGGATACAAGCGGACATTCGAGGGGCTGCGCGCGCGCGGCTCATGAATATCCGGATGTCCGAGCACCGGCGGTAACGGGAACCCGGGGCGGGGGGGGGGGCGGGCTTCGGCGAGAGCGCGCGGCCGGGGAAAGAAGCCGGGCCCAGGCTCGGGTTTCCGCAATCTCATTCTCATGACTCCACGCAAATGATCGTCCAGGATGTCGCGTGGGCGAGCGCACTTACGCCGAGGGCGAGATGGTACGCGACATCGAGTGGAAGGCCGCATGCGACAATTGTTTCTGCGCGATGGGCGCCGTACGATGCGTCCCGCTCGCGTGCGCGCCACCTCTCCAAGGCTGCAGCCCGATCGTGCGAGAAGGACAATGCTGCCCGTCCACCTACAACTGCAGTGAGTTGACACGCAACTTTGCAATCAAGCACGTCGTTCCGCGCGTCCCGCGCCCGGAACGTCGATTTTCCGGCGAATTACGCGGCCGAATCTCGCGGTAGCGGGTCACCGGAGCGGCAGCGGCGGCGCGGGTTCACTCGACGTGTTCGAATCGTTAGCGGGCTAGGGGGGTATCGACGGATTCGGGACGGACGATAAGCGAAAATTGTCGGAGCGGCGGATTGCGACGGAGCGAACGACTCGAACGAAAGGACCGTCGAAAATAACGTCATGGTTTCGAGGAGTCATCAGACCGAAACGAAAATGTTTCCGTGCCAACATCCGCGTGAAAATCCTGGAGAACGTACGCGAAATTTATATGATTTTTTTTTAAATCCTTATTAGTTGGATTCTGCTCTGGTCGTTTGGAGCGCCGAGCGCTCTCGAGCGCTTTCTACCTTTCGTCGTTTGACACGTGAAAAGAAAATGCTTTTCGCTCAGCAAGAAATCGAGGCAAACACACAGATACACACACACACACACACACACACACACACACACGCGCGCGCGCAGTCTTTCTTTCATATTTTAAAATTCTCGAAATATTAGTTCTCAATGCCGTTTATGACACCGCCGATAGAAGTCGGTCGTAGCTGACGCCGAACCGACTTTCGCGCGTGCGCTCGGCTAAGTATTATAGAAAAATGTTTTACTGAAAGCGAAAATATTTATTTGATGCACGCCGACGCGCGAGAGGCCAACACAAAATGTCGCCGTCGACAACACACACGGCATCTCGTCTTTCGCTTTGAAAATATTTCATCGGGTATTCCCGCTCGCGCGGGACAAATAAAACATCTCGCCCGGGTTTTGCGTATACGCGCGCGTGCGCGAGCGGCGGCGAGCGAATGAATAAACGCGCCGATTCTTGGAAGCGAGAGAAACATCTGCGAATTAAAAGGGGATTTAATTTTCGGGCGAGAGCGTTTACCTCGATACAGTCAATATGGCAAGTCCGCGAGATAGCCATCGATATTAATACCGCGGCGGGTAGAAATATGCACACCTACCGGACGCGAAGCGAACGGTCAGTGACCCGCGTGCGTCGACTTGAAAGCGCGCTTCATTCGCCGTCGCTGACAAATTTCGTCGACGTTTTCACGTTTCACTTGAAAAGTTGGATAAAACCAGCCAACGAGGTCTGAGGGCGCGGTATTTGCGCGCAAACATTCCGTCCTTGGTCGCGCGAATTGCGCGGACACCACGCCCTGTGTGATATTTTCGGCCGCCATTCGTCCGACCGATGCGAAATTGTGTGTCTGCGCGACATTTGATCTTTGGTCTTTTGCACTCGCTCGCTTGAATCATTCAACGTGACCTTTGGAGGGACGGGAAATACTTTGAGCGGACCGCCAGCGCGCGAAACAGAGTCAGATCTAACGGAGACACACGCCGCTGCGTTCATCTTTGCCGATTATTACTTCACAGCGCTCGCGAATCGCTTCGCGTTCAGATACGTATCGCGATCAGGGAGAATCTCGTAATATCGGGGAAGGGCGGGGAGGCGGGATTCTCTTTCACAGAGACAGAGAGAGAGAAAAGAATGTAAAAAGAAAGCAGAGACGCCAGGCTCTGGTTCATCTTTGCCGTTTTTGCCGGCAAAGTCCTGACCCAGCCAGACGTCGCACGTCTACGATAGCGCAAGGAACTGACCGATTGAATCTTCAAGGCGGTAGCATCGAGGTGAAGGCCACCCAGAACTACGCATCCTACGCCTTCATCAGCAAGGACTACGCCAAGTTCCGCAAGGAGACCAACTTCTTCGTACGTTCCCTTTTTCTATACTACGCATCTCCTTATTGACCTCAAATGTCGCGCCGCGCCCCGTTCTTTCGTTAGCGATTAATTAACGCCGCGCCATGCGCCCTATAAGGGGCGCGAGCTATGCCAAGTAGTTGGAAACTGTCGCCGCGCTCGGAATAAGTCTACTATTCTAAATAGTTGCTAAATAGAAACGAGCGCCCGAGTTGCAGAGGCAGGTCGGGCCGGGCCGGGCCGGGCCGCGGGCCGGCCTGCCTCTGCAACTCGGGTGATTTACGCGTAGTCGGCGGAATTTAATCAATGAGATCTAGCCGCGTCTCTGCAACATCGGTTATAAACGCGTCAGACATGCGACTTAGTTCGGGAATTCGCGACAGAGCAAATTCCCCTTGTTGGATCACGAAGCGCGAGACGAGTTTCGGATCGCGCGACGATGTATCTATTATGGACGCGTTGCGTTATTATTAATGGGTGACGTCGTTAGGACTGAACGCCACTTACGCGGGGGGGGGGGGCAATTCGGATCCCGCGGGATACACGAGAATCTACTTACTTAGACGTCGGAAAGACGGCACACGGTGCGCGATTCTTGTCACGTCATGTGCGGCAAAGCGACGCCGGTAAAAATATATAGAAAAGGGTACACTTCATCGATTTTTTTCATTTTGAAATATGTTATAAAGCATGAAATTCTGAATGACTCTTCCTGATACAATTATATGGGGGTCGCTTATAGTTTCTGAGATATTTGACTTTAAAGTTTTATAATTGTACGTGGAAGTATATTTGAAGTAGACAAGCAGTTTTCATTCACTTTAAATATAGGAAACAGGTACATATAAGCGGGAGAGGGGCTCCGCCTCTCCTCCGCACCCCCTCCCCAAACAAATCCTAACCTAACCTGACTTATTGCATCCTTATATATTTTTGGACATTGTTGAAAAAAGTTCTCTTAAGATCTACCACCTGGCTCAATTTAACTTATAATATCTGCATATAATCAGGTGTTGTTGCTTTCAAGGAGATCTTTTCAACATCGCCCAACAATATATAAAGATGCAATAAGTTAGGTTAGATCAGAATTCTTTTTGGAGAGAGGGTGCGGGGGAGGGACGGAGCCCCTCTTCCGCTTATATGTACTGTTTCCTATATTTCTGTGTATACATTATGTTTGAATTAACTGTTTGGATTGTACTGTAAATAACGTCAGCTTATGATATCTGGAATTTAATTCCAGGATAATTAAAATTCCAAAACTTTAAAATCAAATATCTCGGAAACTATAAGCGACCCTCATATAGTTGTATCCGGAAGTCACTCAGAATTTCATCCTTTATAATTCCATATTCCAGAATGAAAAAACCGATGTGGTGTACCTCTTTCTATATATTTACTGCGATGTCCTCGCTCGGAATTGCCGAGTAACGAGACCCGGCGCGCTCGATGTATCTCGGAATGTATTCAATTTTATTACTTTTTTCTTCCGCGCGCGCGCGCGCAAGATTTTACACTCCTTCTATATTTACTTGTTTATTTATTTATTTATTTATTTATCCATACGCCTTGCTCGACTGCATGCTCGCGACGCGAGTTCACGCGGCCATCTCCCCGGCGCACAGTGGGGCCAGATGACATTTTTTGGTTCAAAATTCTCTAGAGACCTGAATTTCTAAGCGATCATCGACACCAATGGATGAGGTTGATCTTGAATAAATTCCGAAGAGATCTGTCTTGCCAAAATTAAAAAGAAATTTTTTTCTTGAATTACTAGCCCCAAAAGAAGAAAAATTATCGTTAAACGCGAGAAACTTGTAAAATACTCATTATTCGACACTTATTTCCATCTACTAGCGTATTCAGCGGATTAAAACTATGAAACCAATCAACAGATACCTCGAGATTTATCGATCATGAATCAGAAACCCATTAACACAAAACTCATATGCCTAAAATACAAAAACATCAAATATAGACCCGTTAAGCACAAAACCGAGGGATTTGGAGTCTCAAGCCCGTCAAGGGCTTAGGAATCTATCAATCCGAGAACTTTTTAGCTCGTGGATGCATGAAGCCATATAGAGGATGTCCCATTTTCGCAACTTTCGCATTGAAAAATCTCGAAAACTATGAAAGATATTAAAAAAGCTAAAACACGTTTTCCATGATCTCGAAGGGGAAAGAGAATGGCATTATCAGTTTTTTATTTGGAGGGCATTTTCAAGGTAAGTTGAAGGTCAACTTAATTTTTGAAATAGAAAGCCCAATTTTTTATTATACCTTCTTTTCCTACCAATTAATTTTAACAGCTTTTGTCTGAAACATTTTTTTATTTGCGTAAAGAATATATTATTATAATAGCGCCCTAACTTTTGTTAACTTATCGACCTTTGGAAATTTCAAAATTTATTATACTAATTTATTCTTGATAGTAAATAAAGTAAAAAAGTCTGATACTATTTTTTCTTTCGATGAATAGTTAGCGAGATATCGTAAGTTAAATGTTGAAAAAGTTACGAAATTTTCCTTAAATATTTCAAAAAATATCAGGCAAATAAAATAATGTTTCAGACAAAAGTTGTTAAAATGAATTGGTAGAAAAAGAAGATATAATAAAAAATTGGGTTTGCCATTTAAAAAAATGAAGTTGACCTTCAACCGACCTCGAAAATGCCCTTCAAATAAAAAACTGATAATGCCATTCTCTTTCCCCTTCGAAATCATGGAAAACGTGTTTTAGCTTTTTTCAATATCTTTCATAGTTTTCGAGATTTTTCAATGCGAAAGTTAAAATGGGACATTCTGTATATTAAGAGCCCCAAATAGTTCAAGAACCCAATCTAGCCGTAGGCTCGAACCCATTGAGGTCGAACCCAAGACACTGTACTTTAAACGATAAACTTTTCAGACAAACCCTAAACCCGTGAACTCTGAACCGATAATTTTTTCAAAATTTCGGCTAGACAAATCTCTTTGGAATTTATTCAGGATCAACCTCATCCATTGGTGTCGATGATCGGTTGGAAATTCAGGTCTCCAGAGAATTTCCAACCAAAAATGTCATCTGGCCCCACTGTGCGGTGCGGCGCGGCGTTGAGAAATTAAATTCTCGTATGCAAGTGAGCTCGGGCTCGGTCAAACGCCGGCTACGACGTCATTAAATTGACTCGATCGATCGGGTTACATTTAGGCTTTGATGCGCGAGTGACCGGAGCTTCGCGGAAAAATAAAGAGAGGTAAGGGAGAGAGAGAGAGAGAGAAAAAATAGAAACGGAAAGAGGAGAAAAGGAGATAATAAGACTCCTTCGCATGCGCGCGCGAACTGATCTTGCCCGAATTTACAGCACGAATGTGTTATTAATTGCTCAGCCGGCAATCGATCAATCCACGTATACGTCCGTCGAAGCACGAGGCCACAGGGTGGTCGAGGAGCAAGTTAGCACTGGCGCGATCGATCCTGAGGAGGATTCGTCTGTCGCCACCTACTCGACCGCTTGGCCCTCGACCATGGAGACCGACATCATGGACAATGAAATCTTGATAGGGACGGTGGACTACAAATCGACCTTGGAAGTGACGACCGCTGCGGTTTCGACAAACGAGGTCTCGACATTACGTTACCGTATACCTCGCCGAACGAGTGCCATCGATCGGCCCGAATCGCCAGTAAATTATGCACCATTAGACAACGTCGCTGCAAGATTCCGCTAAATTATATCGCAATCGTAAAATTACCAAATTCATTACAATCGTAAGAGACACATCTTCACGACTACGCGGATATCGTCGTGGTGGGTGAACCGTGGTGGGTGTCAAGCCGAATAGATCAAATCGACGAGTTTCGCGTTTCTTTTTGCCGTCACACGCGCGGTCGGCCACCGGTCGAAATATCGCCTTCCCCGCGGAGATTGTACACCCGATTGTGAATCATCAATCGTCGTTAACGTTTACTTTACTTCGTTCGTTCCGCAGTTATCGAGCAACACCGAGTCGACCGCGTTCGAGCCGACGTTCGCGTCCACCAAAGACGCTGATTCCGTCACCGATTCCTGCGCGACGTGCTCCACGAACACGCTCACGGACTCGACAATCGCGACCACGGAGGTGGAGAAGGAGGAGGAGGAGGAGGAGAAGGATCCATCTAGCACGGACGATGGCACGACGATCTCGTCGGCGGAATGGACGACGGCGCTCTCGGAATTAACGCTCGATAACGGGAACGATGAAAACGGGAATACCGGCGAGGATAAAAATAAAAACGCGAACGAAAACGAGGACCGGGACGAGGACGAGGCCGCGGGGATGAGGCGGCGTCCGAGCGCGGCCGAGAAAGCGGATATAATTGAGAAAAACAAAGCTACGACGCATCCTTTCGCAATTTCCACGGATGCCGGCGACACGGCGCTTGTCCCCGATGTGAAATCGCCCGAGAACTCCACGCTCGCCAAGGTAAGAGGGCAGGAAGGGGGGGGAGGGGGAGAGGAATAATCGCCGGACTTTTTGACAAGGCCGCTGGATGTCGACGAGACACGTTCCCGAGCGAGGGAAGTAATCCAGAGCTTTTACGAGGGAGTCATTTATTTAAGAATCTTTAGGATCGCAGGACGAATCGATCTTTGGATCTTCATTTTAGTCTTGTCTTTAATCGCGTCTTTTCAGCACTAGCGATAGCAGCAGAAGAACAATCAGGATCGCGGTCGGAGATAAAACGAATAGAGACGAGGTGCTTCCCTCGCGATCGACGAAGTCGTAAAACAGTCGTAGAGACTTCGATCAACTCGTGTCAAGATCGCAAGAAGTAGCTTTCGTTTAACACGCTGAGCGTCGCATTGATTCCCCCCCCCCCCCGTTGATTGCGCGAAGACTCAACTGACGATTGAATTTTGGGCACATCGCGAAAGAAACTGCGATAAGTAAATGAGATTTGAGACGCGAGGCTGTATATTTCGTCTTCATCTCGTTTCAGTAGGCGATTTCCATACGCGATTTTTCACACGCGATCGATCATGCCTTGCGCGTGACTTAATGAGCCGCGCTCATTGTCACAGCTTATCACAGCGCCGGCTACTAATGACCAATCACGGCACTCAAAGTGTTAAAAATATTATATGCAGTCCGAGTGCAAAAGTCTTGATGGGTCTCTCAAAGATCTCACGACTGACCCGCCAGCGTTTTACGGCGGCGCTTACAAATATGTGGACGTGCGATATATTATCGGATAGTAGAAAATAATGGTGATTACTTGGTAGAACAAATAAATCGCTTTCAACAAAATTACTCGATCCATTTTCACGAAATCATCACGGAATCATTATCACGAAATCCATCGAGACTTTTGCACTCGTCCAATATATACACTTTCTTAATGTTTTCATTCATCTCGTGGAATTGGCATTTCGAGCGATTGATAAACATCCCGAGTCGAAATTTTAGTTCTACTTTGATCCCGCAAATTCCGTCCAACTTGAAAGATCAATGAAGAAACTCGAGATACAGTGTGCCTATCTTGTTACTGCAAATGACTGCTTATTGACGTTCTCCGCACGTTGACGCTCGAGAATTGTTCAACGTTGCATGATATTGGGGAAAGGTTAAATAAAAAACACAACATTCTATTTTGCTTCAAACAGTTTCGTAGTTTCGGCAGTCTCGATGACACGTGAATTTTTTTATCAGCTCTTGAAAGAGCCGATAAAAAAAGAGAAAGGGCTGTAAAGGTAAAGACAACAGTTATGTGCCCAATAATGCTGCGTACAGAGAGAGAGAGAGAGAGAGAGAGAGAGTATTTACATTTCGACTCGCTGCAATAACAACAGCTCCATAAACACGAGAGCGAGAAAAAGTCACCGGCGGATGTAAACAAACCGGTGCTTGCGGCCCGAGGAGCACTATTGGAGGTGGAAATCAATATTTGCGAGAATTACATGTTACATGTTCTAAGGCCGGCATTCATACTTGTAAATAATTTGTCATCTTTCATTGAAAACATGATTAATTGTAAATTCGCGGGTCATTGCTCTCCGGTGCGACGGAATCGATACTGCTTGTTGCGCAAAATAGGCACGTGCACGGATCGAACGGTAAATCAGAAGAGCGTGAAGCTACGATTAAATTAAATTGCAATTTCGTACGATAAACGTAGCTCTCGTCACGTGTCGCATGAATGCCGACTCGACCTGAATTTCGACTCGGGTGTATCTCCGTATTCTCGGAAAGTCTGTCACGCGCGGCCGTCGAGATCGGAAACGTCCGATATGATAATTGATTTGGCACACCTGGAAGTACACGACGCGTGCTGACGTTGTCCGCTGCCCCGCTGTTCCTTCCTTCGTCCTTCGTCCTCCTGGCTCCCCCCGGTGCGCGGCGCTCCGCTCCCGCTGCCGCTCCGTCGCAGCGTTGGCACTTGTAGTACTCCGACGTCTGGCACTAACACTGACACACTCGCGTAGACACGATTCGATTCGAGAGACGCGTGTTAATTAATTGTCGCTGTCGACGACAGACCGTTCAAATATTTCAACAGTCCCGGGGAATAACCGGCGCACGCGTCGCGATACGCGCGTATCGTTCGTCGACTTGAGACGTAATGCGCGTAATGCCGAGGCTCGTGCGCGACGCACGGAGTTTATGTAAACAAGACGGCTAATCTCCCATCAATCGCTCCCCCCTCTAGTCCTCCGACCGCCAGTCAACGGCGCGCACATTCGGTAGCCGACGAATCGCAACAATTAACATCATCAGGACATCCCGCCCTTGGAGGCGGTCCCACATGTCGGAAAATGCCCGAGAGAGGGGCGATAAAATTTTTGAATATACTTTCAATTTGCCAAACGTTAATTTTTTACTATTAATTAATATCTGTAGGAGTACAGATTTCTTTCTTTCGTCGGCATCTGCCGACGCTTTTTGGTCTTGTTAAAAAGGTTATCATAATATGAAATATCAAAATTAAATTATTATTGGCGCACAACATTATTACGTCGCACGCAATTGTTATCTTTGTCTCGGCAAACCCTTTCCTTTTTATCCCTTTACCCGAATACCCAGATCCCACGGACACTTTCAACATGGGTAAAAATAATAAACGGAAGCTTCTTTGGTGTTGCATATTGAGACTTTGCGTCGGTCTTTCGCGGGGTTAACGTAGAAGCAAAATTTCGACGCTTCGTCGATCAAAGCTTCTCCGTCTTTCCCGGCTTGAAAAAATCAGAAACTCCACGAGGTGGAGTGAAAATTTTCAATTATTCTGCCTTGACGCGTCAGCGAACCTTCGTCCGTCTTCGCGGCCGCCGTAAAACACGCGTGTTACGTTCATTACGATGAAGCACATGTGTGCAGAGAACGGAAGAGGCGGCCGTCGCTAAGAGACCCGTCACCAGTCCATCGTCGACGATACTCATGCCAGACGACATCCTGGTGATGAACGTGACACTGAAGACGAATGTCTCGGTGGGTCATATACAGGGTGTCACGATAAATCCAATTAAGTCCATACTGCCCGACGTAGAAGCCATTCTGAACATCACTCATCGCGAAAAGACCGGGGATTATGATTACGACTACAGCGGACAGGCTTTGCTGCCGAACGTTAGGTAATTGTTATCATATCTCGATTCGTCATCGGCCCCGCGAGCGTTTACGTCATCGTCGCGACTTGACAACCGGGAGTACTTTTTCCTCCCTTTTGCGCGCGCGCGTGTGCGTGCACCGGTTCAGACAAATGTTTTCCACTTGAAAACAAATTTTCCGAGTCTTGTCATAATTGCGATATTTTTAGAGCGGGCGCGCGGGAGAGAATATCGACGGGTGCAAGCGCCGCTGCGCAGTCGACGTAATCGACAATGCGTTTTATTTCTTTTTATTACACACGGCGCGATGTGCAATCAATTTTTCACGCTTATAACCCGGGATCGCTATGTGCGTTCTCTTTTCTTCTTTTTTTTTCCCCATTTTTCGTTTTTTGTCGGCGAATTTTGTCGGCCGGAGAATGCAGCTTGTCGGTAACGTCGGGAATGAAATTGATATCGTTTGTCGAAAACAACTGATTGATGCCGATTTATAGCGTTACATTTTTTAACGGCGGAAAATGTGCGCTGTGCCGGCCGGTTTTTGTAATCCGTAAACGACTCTTGTGCTGTTTTTTCGTATCTATTTCTCTCTTTCCCTTCCTCCTCCCTCTCTCTCTCTCTCTCTCTCTCTCTCTCTCTCTCTCTCTCTCTCTCTGTTTCTCTTTGCGTCAAGTTTATTCGCCATACATTTTCACGCGCGAACGATCGTTAATCCGAACAAAATGATGAATTATTCTTTGAGAAGGATCGACCACCCTTTCTCGTTAAAAGGTTATCGGTGTTTCGCGATTCTTTTGTGGCCGTTCCAATTGGCTTTCGTCGTTGCCCTGCCGAGGGCGAGGAATTAACTCGCATGATTTCGGTGCGCGCGAGCGCGCGCATTCAACATTAACGGAAAACTGAATGTCGCCCTTGCAGGATAATACCCTTCCTGGTGACGGACGCGCTGGTGAACGGCAAGAAGGACGTATCCTCGTCTAAGACTGGATACTCCCCCGGCTCGAGGGTGGTATCCCCTGAGCTACGACCGACCGATGCTTCCGGTTTTTACGACATTGTGACCCAAGAGAACCGATTTAGTCCGCCCGTAAAGACCGAAGGTATTTTATGACTTTCCGCGCGGGATCAAATGAGCGGCCCCGACGCGGCGGTGCTCCCAGCGAGGGAATCTTAAAGAACGAGCCGAGATGCATAGATATATGTATCAAAAAAAGAATAAAAAGCCAAACTTTCGATTTGCTCTTGCGAGCGCCTAGCTGCTAGCTTCGCGCGTTTCTCCCCGTGCGACTTTCCAGGTCGCTTAATTATTCCCAATCACGCAATGCGCGCGTTTTCCGAGCAGAAAAAACTCGAAAGAAAAATTAAGACGCCGTGATGTCACTCGAGCTCTTTCTGCCGTCTCTAAAGCGACGTCGCTTGCGCGCAACGATACGCCGCCTTCTAGATCTTAATCAAGGTTGCTTCGCAGGTGGCTTTGTGCCCAGAGAGCCCCCGTATTTCGACGTTCCCTACCACTCCACGGACCTGAATCTCGAGATCGGCACCGGAGTCACCGTGGTCCCGGCGGCGCAGGTTGCGAATCCGCACCGGAAGAACGACGGTATGCAACGCGGCTTTGTGTTAAATTGTCAATCGCGCGCGTGATCCGCCCCGTTGTCTAATCGACGCGTCCTGGCCCGACTAGACATGTCCAGCAAGTGCCACGTGCAAAACATGGAATACCGTCACGGCGAGACCCTGCCCGGCGCCGCTCTCTGCGTGATCTGCGTGTGTTTCTACGGGGAGATCGCGTGCTCGCCGGAGAAGTGCCCGCCATTGAAGATCGGTTGCCGGAGGATCACCTCCGAGGGCAGATGTTGCGGGGAGATCGTTTGCGGTATACCTAACTCATCATCATGTCGTACCTATCGCTACTAACAATCGCTTCCGACTAGAGACGTTAACCCGCGAGCGAGCGTTAACCGTCAACGCCGCTCGTAAGAGTATCATAGGCGTCTAATTATTATGAGTCGAGTTACTACCCGAGCAGAACATCGTCCTATACGGCCGTATATTAAAACCCCATCCGGTTTTCAAACCTCAAACAGGGTCCGGATAACTTTATCGGATCCGGCACGTAATAAGGAGTGAAACGCACTGCTGCATAATGCCCCGATAAAATTGCCTGAAATCGAGAAACCTGAACAAATGTCCATCGGGACCAAATCGGGCATCTAAATAATGACTGGCCATCGCTGGTCAGGGTATAATCCGGAAAATATTGCAAGACAATTGCCACATTCCGACCGGATAAGGACCGGATAAGGACTCATAATGCCTTCTTACGGCTTGCCTACACTGCAAATCCGAGTGTATTATTTTGACACGTATAAGCTGAAGGTTTTCGCACGCGTTTCTTCACACGTCGTCTGAAATCGCGTCATTTGATGCATTTTGATATCACTTGACGCGTCTGAACGCGTCAAACGGCGTGATTTAAGATGACAAGATACGCGTAAAGGAAGCTTCAGCTTATACGCGTCAAAATAACACACTCGGGTTTGCAGTGTACCCGAGCAGAACATCGGCCTACGGCCGTATTAAAACCCCATCCGGTCTTCAAACCTCAAACAGGGTCCGGATAACTTTATCGGATCCGGCACGTAATAAGGAGTGAAACGCACTGCTGCATAATGCCCCGATAAAATTGCCTGAAATCGAGAAACCTGAACAAATGTCCATCGGGACCAAATCGGGCATCTAAATAATGACTGGTCATCGCTGGTCAGGGTATAATCCGGAAAATATTGCAAGACAATTGCCATATTCCGACCGGATAAGGACCGGATAAGGACTCATAATGCCTTCTTACGGCTTGCCTACACTGCAAATCCGAGTGTATTATTTTGACACGTATAAGCTGAAGGTTTTTGCACGCGTTTCTTCACACGTCGTCTGAAATCGCGTCATTTGATGCATTTTGATATCACTTGACGCGTCTGAACGCGTCAAACGGCGTGATTTAAGATGACAAGATACGCGTAAAGGAAGCTTCAGCTTATACGCGTCAAAATAACACACTCGGGTTTGCAGTGTACCCGAGCAGAACATCGTCCTACGGCCGTATTAAAACCCCATCCGGTCTTCAAACCTCAAACAGGGTCCGGATAACTTTATCGGATCCGGCACGTAATAAGGAGTGAAACGCACTGCTGCCCCGATAAAATTGCCTGAAATCGAGAAACCTGATCAAATGTCCATCAAGACCAAATCAGGCATCCAAATTTGACTTCTGCTCGGGTAGTCATGCCATATCAGGCATAAAAAATTGCCGTATTTGATTTCTGCTCGGGTAGATCGAAAAGTCACGGCAATTAGAGTGATAGAGAGAACGCAGCTGCGACGATAGAGAAAGGCGCGCTTAACTTAAACGAACCAAACTCGCAGTGAAAGCCGACGAGTCGCCGACGGTGGTGCTGAACCGCGCCGACGCCACGGCGCCTTCCCAGCGGCAGCCCACGGTTTCCCCGGACCCGTTCCGCGACGTTATCAAGACCGAGCCGGCCCCCGACTTACCTTCCTTAATCGAGGACATGATACGCGGCATCACGACAGCCAGGCCGACGACGTCCATGGCAGCGGCGGCGGCGGCGGCCGGGACTTCCAAGACCTCGGCTCAAGGCTTGACAGGCAATCAGCTGCAACACCCAACGAACTTTGACTTCATGGTGCCGCTTATACGGCCACCCTTTGATTACGGGGGAGAGACGGTAGACTCACCTTTCATCTCGGAGATCAAGTACGATGGCGTAAACGACGGCGAAGCGTCCCCGAGGGACACCATCCCGCCGTTAACGTACGAGCCGGAGGACCGGCTCGCCGATCGCACCGAGGCGAACGCCCAGGCGAGCGTCTTCGGCTACGACGATGCGACCTTGAACAAGCTAAATCGCACGGACGACGACTCAGAGAACGGCAACAGCACCGAGCAGAAGTTCGCGCTAAAGAAGACCGCCGCTTCTCTGGTCGACAATCGCGACGGAGATTCCACCGGCAAGGGCAATCACAGCGAGTCGAATGCAAGCTCGTCGATCGCAGGAGGAGACGAGGGCAAGGTCGTCGAGGGAGACGTCGAGGGCGAGAAGCAAGGCGTCTCTTCCGTCGACAACGTGTTCTCCTCGAGCGCCAGCAGCATCAGCAGCGAGTCGAGCGCAAGCTCGACCAAGACGCCAGATGTTTCCACCGTCAGCGGCGCACGAGAGGGTCAGGAGACAGCTCTCGCCGCCGCCTCGTCGACGAGTGCGGAAGGGTTAGCCGAGGAGACGGGGACTGTCGAGACGTCCTCGAAGGTCCTCGACAACGAGATATCCATGTCCGTCGGCAGTTTGTTGAAGCTGGCGGGCTGTAATATATACGGGCGGATGTATCGCGTCGGCAGAATCATCACCGAGCTCTCGAATCCCTGTCAGGAGTGTAGATGCACGGAGATCGGTGTCCAGTGCAAAACGCTGCAGTGTTGATCGGACGCCGATTTCTTGTCCCTCTCTCTTCCCCTCTGTCTCTTTCTTCGTCTCCCTGCGCTCGCCCTCGTCGAAGCAAGTCGGCGGGATGCAACGTTAAGAGAACGTGTATACGCGGTCCGATGAAGCAGGCGCGATACGCCGTCTCCTCGTGATGCCCGGAGAATTGAAAGTGCGTGCGCACGGGGTTCTCCCCCGCGAGGCAGCTCGTTTTTCGCACGCGGATGATGCGATTGTGAATCTTCTTCAGATTTCCTGCCTTTATCCCGAAAGCGTGCCGAAAGTTTGCGACCGCAACGGGAAGAGTCTCGAAAGTGCTTTCGGCGCGAGCGAAAACGATGTTTGGATTTTGCAATCGGGAGAAAGAGAGAGAGAGAGAGAGAGAGAGAGAGAGAGAGGGAAGGGGAGAGGGAGAACGGAGTGTTCGCGCGAAATTACATGAAAATTTGAATAGGATACTCGAGCTGGAACAACTTCGTAATGGGCGTTTATGAAAATTTCCACGTTGACAAATTTCAAGTGTAACACTCGTTGCCGTCAACTTCGTCGGATTTAACGGAAGCAACGACGTCATCGGACGCGCGCAGGGAAGTGGACGGAGCGCTCTCTCTCACTCTCTCTCTCTCTCTCTCTCTCTCTCTCTCTCTCTCTCTCTCTCTCTCTCTCTCTCTCTCGGCCGACGCCACTTTGTATCCCGCCGCTCCGTAAAAGTATCCTGCGGGAAATCGGCGAGTCTTCGCACGCGAATCTTTCGTTATTCATCTTCCCTGCCCGACTCCGTTCGCGACGGAGAATATCTCGCCGTCGCATCGTCGCCGATGCGGGCTCTAAACGTCGTCTGAAACTATGAATCTCCGAGACGACTATCAAGACGACTCACTGTTGCACGTCTTCCGCCAAGACGTCCTGTCGACGCGATGAACCTTCGGCCGAAACTTCGGACACGCAATTATCCAGGCAGAACCGATCGATTCGGCCCCGATGGCCCCCGATAACGAGACACCGCTCGGATTACTCTAACTAGACGTAATGTCCGCGTCGGTCGAATCATTACGCGATTCCGTCGTCCTCCGGCCAAATGCGTCGCGTCGCGTCGCGGTCGAATTTCTATGGAGACTAATGAAACCGGAGTCTCCGGAGCCCGCGAGATATCCGGACGTATTTTCTCGTCGCGTGTATTCTCCAAGCGCGCCGTTCGCGGAAGTTCCCGCGGCGGGACGGCGTTCGAAGAGCGATGAATTAATATCCCGCGATAGGAACGTGACCGTCAAAGTTACAGAAGAATCTCGCTCTCGACGGTTACGCTCATCCCTCGTCACACGCGGCGTTTTCGCGACGACGGCGACGAAGAGGATCGCGCGCGCCACATACGAGAGGAAAGAAAAGCGTTCTTGAACGCCCTCGGAATTAAGCAATTCGATTGCAATTGTCCTCCACCGACCACGTCTACTATCTGATGCTCGCGGGACATCCCTTTCGCCTTGTCCCCGATCCTCCGCGATCAACTTTCAACCCCCCTTACCTTTCCCGCCGATCGAACGTATCGTCTATAATCCAGCTTACAGTTCGCGGCGACCGGCTCTCTCGTCTGTTCTCTCTCACCCCCTTTCAACCACCCCCTGCATCATTTCCCACCCCCGCGTCCTATCCCGTGGAAAATTCCGAGATTCTCCTCTCTCTCTCTCTCTCTCTCTCCCTCCCTCCCTCCCTCTCTCTCTCTTTCTCCCTCCCTCCCTCCCTCCCTCTCCCTCTCTCTCTCTTCCTCTCCCTCTCTCTCTCTTCCTTTCCCTCTCCCTCTCTCTCTCTCTCTCTCTCTCTCTCTCTCTCTCTCTCTCTCTCTCTCTCTCTCTCTCTTTCTCTCTCTCTCTCTCTCTCTCTGTCTCTCTAATTTCTTTCGTGCTCGTCGTTTTCTGTCTGTATCGGCAGGGCATTATTCCCGGGACGTCGCACGGTGGTCATAAACGCGAGCCTTAGGAGAATCCACGTCCTGGTGGGATCGATCAGGATGTAATTGTGAGGAATAGTCCTTCCGTGCCTCGAAGGATAAGTGGATGAAGGCGGAAGTTAGCGCGGTATTCGCTCGTCCTCCGACCGCCTTTCCTCTTTAATGGGAATTATCCGTCTATATACCGATGGGAACGAGAGGCGGACGCGGGGGAGGGGGAGAGGGAAGGATGGGCGCACGATGCAAGGCGATGGAGATTAGGAGTGGAAAGGAGGGTGAACCGCCGTTTTGATTTATCTTCGTAATTTATCTGACCCGGCCGAATGCTAAAGAAAGCGGCTTCGAGTGCGACGGCAGCGAGGACGAGACGAGACGAGAGGGGGTGAGAATAATCATTCGGCGGAGACGCGGCTGCACGATCCGAATTATCCCGCTAAATCGCACGTTTCTTAGATATCGGCCGATCGTCGGTTAAGAATCGAGGTGGGAAAAATCGAAGAAAATCCACGCGCACGAAGCGCGATCGAACGATTTTTCACCACGCGGACCGACGTCTTCTCTGATTCGGGCGGGAGAAGTTGCCTCAATCACGCGGCCGAACACAATGTTTGCGTGTTAGTTCGTAAGTTACAATAACGATCTCATTAGCATGACCGACGGAAATTGGAGAATTTGACGAAGACGTGTCTCGTGTCGCAATTATCGCCGTGTTACAACGACGCACACATATACACATGCATACATACACATACACACATACACACGCGATACAACTCGACGTCGAGTTGTCGATAAATATTATTTTCACTTGTGTTTCTCCAAGCGTTACACTCTTCGTTGTTGCGATCGCGAGCGCAGGAGCGGATCAGAGATAACAAGCAGAGTTACACACGTTCGCGTCGAATTCCGCAAATAATTCCGCCGTGATTTCACTGCGCCGCGCCGCGCAGATGCTTCATTGTGACTTGTAAGGCATTTTGTTTGTATCATATCGGATACTCTTTCTCGCGCCGATTCTCCCCCCTTATTATGCGTCGCGCTTCTCCGAGACGCGCCCTGCGAGAATCCGCTCGCGTGCGACTGCTCTCAGTATTCTTGTGTATTCGCCGAACAAAAGCGCGATTGTGACTGCATCGACAATAAATAGAGCTTCCGCTGCGTCGTGAGGACTTTATTAAATTCTGCCAAATATAATAAAATCTCGCTTCTCCCGAAGAGAAAGATTGCGATCGTGTGTCTACCGATGATACATTGCACGCGCTTGGCTTTCTCTCTCCTCTCCCTCCTTTACTCTTCTTTCCCTCGCGCAGCGATTCGAATTGGTCGCGAAAGTGGCGTACTTCGCGCTTCGAATGCCTCAGAGAAGCTGGTGTCGTACACCACAACAATGTTGTAATAAACTCTTTTTTGTCTACTCCTCTGTTTCTCTCTTCCCTTTTCTTTCCTACTCTCTCTCTCTCTCTCTCTCTCTCTCTCTCTCTCTCTCTCTCTCTCTCTCTCTCTCTCTCTCTCTCTCTCTCTCTCTCTCTCACTCGCTGCTCTCTTTCTCTCTTTCTCGCAGCGAGCCGCATTCATTCCCGATGAAATGAATCTCCGCTAAGCCACCTAATCCCCGCATTCTTAACAAAATCTGCTTCGCGCGCGTGGCAAGTAAATTTTCTTGGTGTCTCTCTCTTCTCGGCTTTCACAGCGATAAACGCAGCACTCCGAAGCTGTTATCGCGTACAATGCGCCCCGCAAATATTACTCCGCCGCGCGAATCGGAGAAAACCTAAACAACGCGCGCGCGCGTTATTAAAATATTTAATTAGATCCACATCGGAAGTGCAGTCCGGGCGAATGAATCTTTGATAAAAGCGCGGTGCGTCTGATCGCTGCTGCGACGCGAAATAATAATCGGAAAAGTAATTAATTCTAGTCTTTAAAACGCGAAGCGCATACACGGCCAATATAATGCGAAATAATAACCAACAGCTATTGAATAGGGAACAATCGAAAATGCGCGCGGTGAGGTGGGAGAAGGAGATCGACGGTTCGAGATTGTGGATCGTATCAGTTTGTAAAACGTCGTACGATTCGTTTGACTTTATTGTAGGCAATCGATTGTTTCGATATACAATGGAGGTAACGGGGCCTCATTATACTCGCGGCGAAATCACAGTATGTGTTACGGGCGTGTTGTCTGTGTGTGTGTGTGTGTGTGTGTGTGTGTCTGCATGTATGCGTATGCATGTATACGTATAATTATATTTATATTTAATAATCCATATTTACAAGGTTTCATAATGTAATCGTGTCGACGACAACACTAACATAATCACAGCCAGTTCGCCTCATGTAACATTGATAAACAAGTAGGTACGAGTACACGACTAATTGCCCGGGAGAACACATTATTCTTCACGCATTTTTTTTTCTCTTTTTTTCCTGTCTTCACGACTTTTCCTTCTATATCGCTAGATACGTGTTTATATGCTATGTATGGGAGAGTGTATATTATATGCGCAATTGCAGTTCTCGCAAATCGCGTCCCGTCGTGACGGAGGCTTCGCGCTCTAGCGCTCTAGCGGCGTGTCGCGCCGCGAACGTTATGACGTTATCAACGGGCCTTCGAAGCGACTAGGGATTCAAAAATCAGGTGTCTCGCGCAGCGGAAGTTATTATTGGTGAGCGATCGATCAGTCTCGCGAAGGACGAGCGCCGCGCGGCAATCGTCATCGCGCGCTCGTTACTTTCGCCCGATCGGCCTGCGAGGGAAAATCCCGAGAAGCGGATTTAACCGAGAGCCGTTAATCCAAGCGGTAATGAGAGATCGTTAGCTGTGATAAATCGAAGCGAGGAGAAACAACACACACGGGTCAAAAATTGATCTCTCCGGTGAGATGAACGTTTTCCGAAATCTGAACGTACACCGGCTCACCAATTTTCTTCCCTCCACCCTCCCGTCCCACCTCTCCCATTGTCTCTTGACAACCGTAGTTAGCATCCAGTAATTAAGGGGACATTACGCGCTACGTTATAAATATGTTCCGGCAAGTTTTACAGCCTCGTAAATAGAAATGCGATTATCTTTACGTTACCTTATGTGTTATATGCTATAAAAGATTCGTACATTCTCTTGCATATTTATCGGGGAACATGGCAGGATTCTCTGGCGGTGGTTGAACGCGAAAGGAGCCTCGAAAGGACTCTGCTGAATTCTTCCGTCAGCCTCTCCCTTTCTCTCCCTCTTTCTCTTTCTCTGTCGGCTCTACATTAACAGGTAACGTCGAAAGATGATATTCGTGATCATAATCTTACGATGTTACTTCTAGAGCGACAGGGAACTAATTCGCTCGCGTAGGTGCTCGCACACGTAGCGGCTTCTCCGTCTGAAAGCTTCCCTCTTCCTCTCTCTCTCTCTCTCTCTCTCTCTCTCTCTCTCTCTCTCTCTCTCTCTCTCTCTCTCTCTCTCTCTCTCTCCCCCTTCTCGGTCGCGTGCGCGTCGCGCGCGTCTGCGTGTGTGTGTGTGTGTGTGTGGATTATATCCGTGTCGTTAAACTTCGGCCTACTTTAACGATCGATACACTTAACTTTGCCTCTCATTAAAATTCTCCTTATCATAACACGTTTACATTAATACAGCGATCGCTTTATTTTATACATCTTCTTACATGTCTCTCGTACACGCTAGACTGCTAATACGAATAATGGAAAGGATGAAGGTGCCTCATTGTCCTCGAGCGTCGGCAATACAGCGACGTGACGCTACTCGTCGACGCTGCTCGAGATCGCGGCTCTCCTCGCCGCGCGAGCCGTAATGCGATCTCGTCCTCTCGCGCGTTAGTGCTTCTTTATATTATTTAAATAAATTACTCTTCGTAATAACCGGCAATAACCGTTCGCTCGCCGTCGCCGAAGATTGGCCTAGTAACGCGCCTCGACCTCTTACACGTGTATGTATATATCATGGTGGATTTTTTCCTTAATTTCATTATACACACATTCACTCTTTCATAGTCCTTCTGCTTCAATAATATATTAATATATATATATATATATATATAGCGAGATCGACAAAATGACGACAAGTGTCATTACCAACTGTATCATGTGAAACATTCTTATACTCACACATAGTCCTCGGGTCTACGGAAACCATGATCGTGGCTGACGAGTGACTCTCTCCAAACGTTTGAAACATCTGTTAATACAAAATTCGCGACGTGTATGTGTGCGCGCTGACGCGTTGCGTGTTGCTCTGACGCTTGTTGCAATATATCAAATTTATCAAAGTGTTACCAGGCGCACGAAGAACCACAGAGCATGCGTTTACTCTCAGATAGCCGAGTCCTCGAGATCCTAGACATTCTAAATGGCAGCGAGTAGCATGAACAAACTCGACGAAATGTTGGTGTATCTTTGGTATCGGCCGCTGATCGAGCGTAACATAATACATCGTCGAGCACCTCTTCGTCGTCTTCGGTGTAGCGTCCGGCAGCAGTCGCTGCGGAGGTCCACGTCCTTGCGAGTGGCAATGGTCGGCGAAGCCGAAGTCGCGGCGACGGTCTCGCCCGCTGATGACGAGAGAAACGCGCGCGGAGCTCGACGACGGGCGGAACAGCCGGGAGAGATCTTCAGCTTCGGGAGAGCTTGAAACGCGCTCGCAACTATCCCGAGGAGCCGCGCGGCGAGTTCGCGCACGTATCGCGCCGAGCGGCAGAGCGAGCCTACTCGAACACACTCTCGGCGGCCTCCCGGATCTTCACGATCAGGAAGGAGCGTTTGCACAGCTTGACCAGCAGCTCGATCCTTTGTCAGGACGGCTTCCTGAGCTGCGGCAGGGCGATCAGGTAAACGTTGCCGAGGACGGCGCCGACGATCAGCAGCATCACGCTCACGGCCGACACCAGCCGCACGAATCGCACGAACTTGCGGCCCCGGGCGTCCTTCTTGCTCTGCTTCGGGAACACCGCCAGGCCCAGCAGCGGACCCGCCAGCGCGCCCGCCACGTGGGCCGCCCAGCCGACTCGACCGCATCCGAGCAGCGCCGGGATCGGCAGCGACGCGACGTCCGCGCCGGCCAGCAGCAGTACGGCGCCGAGGCGCCAGCCGGCGTAGCGCAGCTCGCCGTGGCACTGCAAACCAACGACAGACGGGGAAATGCAGAACGACGCGTCATCCGAGGGTGACGCGCGGGCTTACGAGTAAACTTCGGGGAATGTCAGACGCCGATTTGTTTCCAACTTTTTATAGTTATTTTTAATGTCAAAATATAAAGAAATCTGTTTTCATTTTTAGCTTAGATTAATTTCTTCAGTTTTTTCGAAATTTCTGAAGTTTCTTTTGTTCATTCTTTTTTTATTCATTTCTCGTTCATTCTTTACCAGATTTTGACGTTAAAAAGAGCTTGTTTGCTGGATAGTGAGCCGAAAGATTACTCAACGAGTCGAATGTAAAACTGAACAATGACGTCAGCCATATTAGATGCACCATTTTGAATTTTACAAAATGGTTCTGATTCATAATCGACGACATGTGTGTGCAAGTTTCAACAAATCAGATATATATATATATATATATTTTTAAGAAATATAAGATTTGGCGAAGAAATTTAAGAAAGTTTTAAATATGTATAAAATAGTGTACTTGTGCAAAACTTGAAAAATTTCGAAAAAATTAAAAAGATTAATTTAAGGTAAAAATGATAACAGATTTCTTCATATTTTGACATACGAAACAACTATAAAAAATTGGAAACAAATCGGCGTCTGACGTTCCTCGAGGTTTACTTGTTAGCCCTCCGCCGCCCGCCGTGACGACAGCTCCCTCCTTGCGCGCGCGCTCGCGATTTCGCGAATTTTTACGCACAGCCGCGTCGACGGAAACTCGCGTCTCTCCGTTAGCGCGAGTCGTTCACGCCGGAATTCACGCGGCGATTAACGCGACCTGTTTCCACGCGACCGAAACGCGGTCGAAATGGCGGCTTCTTTATGGAGCGCCTTAAGGACGCAAATATTTATCTACCCCTTTCCCTCCTGCTTTTACCTTTACTCAGCGTCCGCTGGAGATGATAAATGCCTCGTTGTATGAAATCGAGTAGCCTCTTGCAGAACAATCACAACGAAGGATAATAAAGTTGCCTTATAAGATAAAATAATAAGAAAGAAACCGCGGCCGGCCAATGTCGAATCGTCCGGCGCGGCGCTCGATTCGATCGATCGTTTCGCCGGGCGCCGGCGGGCGGTGAGAGCGAGGGCTTCAAAGGCGACGGGCCGATTGGTATCTCGAAACGAATGCGGAAACTTCGGTCGTAGGCGCGCCTAACGGACTGATTAAAACGCCCGAATCTCCGGGGAGTTCTCGCGCGCGCGCGCGCGAGCGTTGCAGTCTCGCGAGAGGAGGGTTTATTCGGCGCCATTGAGAAGGATTCGCGGCGGTATTTCGTCGGGCGGAAACATTCCCGCGCGTTTTCATAGCGTGGCTTCTTTTGTACCTTTGCCCTGGTCGCCGCGGTGATGTGGGCGTGCGTGCGTGCGTGCGTGCGTGCGTGCGTGCGTGCGTGCGTGCGTGCGTGCGTGCGTGCGTGCGCGCACGTACGACGCGAACTTTGAGCGAGCTCCGACGAGCGCGCTTCGCGCGGGCGGCCAAGTTTTCGCTCCTGCGGAACGACCCGACAGGGTCTCCTCCGCTGTGCTTACCAGGTAGAGATGAGCGAGGTGGCTCGTGAGCAGCGCGTAAACACCCGCCGAGGCGCCGACCAGATAGAGGCTCGGCTGCAGAAGCGACGCGCCCAGAGCACCGCACACCCCGCCGCCCAGGTAGATGGTCGCAACCCCTATCCGCCCTTGTTCCACCTGCAATCGCAAACTCTTTACAACAACGGCCCGCCGGCCGTGTGCGGAATTGCGATCTGTGCGAGTAGATCGACCTCGCGACAGCGTAACTCTTGCTCCTACGGAATAGGGATGCTGATTTTAAATCGACTTAAGCGAAGATCGATCAGTCGGAGCCTAAAAGATCGATTTCAAGACGATTTTCTGAATCGAATTCTCGAGTCGATTTCTTGAATCGACTCAAGGATCGATCTGTAAATTCTGGAAATCGCCAACACGATTTTTTCAGTTTCTACTAGTAATATAGTTTTTTTTTTTTTACATCTTTTAGTTGTAACATTTGAACTCACTCAATGGTTGCACAATGCACATTATGTTGCGCCTTTAGACCGATGTCCCATGGGCGGGAATTTTCAGCGGAACGAAACGCGCGAACCAATCACAGCCACTCCATATAATAGTATACATTGTATATGCATATAATAGTAAACGTGATTTCTTATTTAATAACGTTTAAAAACCCTTGATTGACGTTTAATCAAACTAATTAAATCCTTAGCACAAAGACCTTTTTCTATTTTGTTCTGGCCACACATACACATACACACACACACACACACGCACACACACAGAATACAACCAAAAGAATACCATATGTTTAATTTCTTTAATTCATATTAAACTATATGAATTACACGAGGTCTACTTTAAAGTGTAGAAACTTGGCAGATAATGTACTCTAATGAGTGGTTCATTCTACACGCATACCGATTCAAATCGATTTTCTGAAATCGATTCTTTATAAACCGATTTTTTAAAGATCGATTTTTTTCTCCGTGACTTCGAATCGATCTTTAAATCGATCTGTTCGAGAAAAAATCGGCATCCCTACTACGGAACAGGTCGGCGAAGATTCTCGCCTGGTCGAGCGATAATCGTGCGCTTCACTTTGCTGAAATCCCGCTTGTCAATTCGCGAGCGAGAGGGGGGAGGGAGAGAGAGAGAGAGAGAGAGAGAGAGAGAGAGAGAGAGAGAGAGAGAGAGAGAGAGAGAGAGAGAGAGAGAGAGAGAGAGAGAGAGACGTGATGCCGTCGAGATAATTCCTCCCGCCGGCATTTGCCGATACTTCGATCGTCGACCGATAGAGCATCTTTCCGTCGCAATCGCGAGATAATTGGATCAACGGAGACAACGTCGCATGAAAACGCTCGCAGGAAGCGTTACACTCGAGGGTGCAAAAACGCGAGTTCGCGAGAGCGGCGCGTTTCGCGTTATGATACGACGGCGCCGATTTCATTCGCCGGTACATGCGAATGTTATCCGGCCTAATGGCGGACAAAAGGCCCCGCGCCGCCGCGTCGTCTGCAGGAGAGACTCGTTCCCTTAAACGCGCGGCGCGTCTCGACACGCCGTCCGAACGACGTTCCCGCAATTTACTTGATTGGCTTTACCTCGAGTGGAGTTGCCAGGACCAGCTGAATGACCACGTTGAGTGCGAGGTGAAGTGCGTTCGAGTGCAGCAGCATGTAGGACGCGAACCTCCAGCCCTGCACCCTCTGACGAGGATCGTAGACCAGCCATCTCCGTAACGTCGCCTCGTCTCCCAGGCAGTGGACGGTTATCTGTTACGAGTGAAAGCACGTTTAATGCGCTTGCCGGTGTCCACGCGGGCGGAAAGACGCGCGCGCGCTGCACAGCGCGCGGCAGTGGCGAAACAGCGCGCATATTCAGCCACGGGCAAATAATTACACGCCGCCGTGGAGGGACACGTCAGACGGCTCTGGAGGTGAAATTAATTGCGATCGGACGCTGTCCAGCGTTAAACGACGCGCGCGCGCGCGCGCGCGTGTCGTAATGGATTGTCTGTCCGGCGCACGGCAGACGAAGCCGCGATCCTTCCGGCCGCGAACACGCGCTCGCTTCGTTTTCATTCATTTATTCGTCTCACGGCGGAGCTTGCCCTCTTCGCCGGCCGAGGAGGGAGGGAAAATTGCGCGAGGAATAGTTACATGTAAATTACACATTTAATAGGGCGAGAAACGATGATGCGCGACATATTCCGAACTGCGGCCGAATTGACCCTCGCCGCTCGTCTGATAGAATTTTATGCCATTGTTATCGTTGGCATGACTATTGTCGCAGACCTTTTAGCGTTACCGCTCGTTACACACACGCGGGGCGCGCTTATAATCGAGACATTTCGCCGGCGACAATGGCGTTGCCGCAGCCGAGAAGAAAGCCTCGCCGTGTACGCGATTACCGTCGGTGTGCTCGGCGACGACGACGGCGACGGCGCGCTCGGGATCCACGGCGGGTATCGCGGAAGCTAAATAAAGATACGCGGCGCTACATGAATTAAGCGCTATCCCAGATTCTCTCCGTGGCGGTGCCGCCGCCGCCGCCGGTGCGCGCCAGCTATTTCCGTAACGACACTTGCCTCTCTCTCCAGGAAGCAAAGTGGCCTTCTGGTTATTCGTCGCGACGGAAAGCGTGTTCCGCGCGTCTTTATGGCCGGGAGCGGCGCGGAAGCGCCGAGAGAACCGCGCGCGACTCGTCCTTTCGGACGCAGCAGAGTGACACGACGACACCAAAGATAATCACGTAATGGACCACGTGGCGCTCTTCACCCGCGTTTCCACGAATATAATATTATATATTTCCGGATGGAGTGCGTCGTCGCAGCCAATTCCTTCTCATTTGCGGAGAGAGCGAAGACTTGAAAGGGAGAGAAAAATAGAGAGAAGAGGAGAGAGAGAGAGAGAGAGAGACAGAATTGATATGTTCGAGAAGAAAAGTGAAGCTCGCGCGATTAAATTTGAGTGATTCGCTGCGGAATCCACGCTAAGCTCGTAAATTCCACGCGTAAAATTCATTTCGTTCGATTAATGCTATCTTTTCCGGTGTAAATTAAGCCCGAACGCGCTTCACGACGCGATTTCATACATCTTGCCGAGGAGGGAGGGGAGACGGAGAGTAGCGAGAGGGGACGAGATAAACGGCCGCCGAGCGCGTATTATAATCCACGATAAACCGCCGTACAACACACCGCGTGAACAAATACGCGCGATACAACGCTTCGCATTTGAGCGGTATCAAAGGCAATCAATCGCATTATCGATCGCGATGATTTACGAAGATCCGTCGAGCTTGTAAAAACACCCAACGCGTATTCGCTCGGGCTCAGGGCGAAGGGAGAGGGAGGGAGGGAGGGAGGGAGGGAGGGATGGGGAGGGAGAGGGAGAGGAAGGGAGAGAGAGAGAGAGAGAGAGAGAGAGGTAGCGGGGATTTTGTTCAATATTAATCTGCGCCAATATCTACACGAAATATTTATGTTACAGACGTAGAATCGGGCGCGCGCTATTCATCAGCGAGTTTAATAACTCGCTCATCCGATTACACCCGCGGAATTTATCGTAATCGTAATAAAGCGCGATCGGACATACCTATAAATACATGCGCATGAACGAAGCGCGCGTGGAAGTCTCCAAAGAGAGAGAGAGAGAGAGAGAGAGAGAGAGAGAGAGAGAGAGAGAGAGAGAAATAGAGAGAGAAAAAAAGAAAAATAACGCCTCAAGGACCGCCATGTTCTCCTCTTCACGTTTCTCTTCCCCTCCGCATCCCTTGCTCTTCAGCACCTCGGAACGGGGTGAAACGAGGCGCACGCGTTCAGATGCTCTCGCCGGTAAATCACACGTGTCAGCAGGTGCGCCGCTCTTTTGGAGGGTTGATACCTTCCCCGGCTATCCATATCCGGCGTCCCGGTTTTACGATCCCGTCTACCTTTCGAAACGTCTAGGTTTGCGCTTATTGCGCTTTTATGCCGGCCACCTTGAACAGGGCAGCGCCCTCTCCTACCGTTTAAAAGCCGAGCCAGCTCGTCCGCCCATCGCGGCGAGACGAGCTCGTTCCCGTCACGTTCCCATCGACGACGGCGCTCTCTCATCACGCGACGATATTTCAATTCGACGAAACGTGTCCGGCGAAACGGTGACAGCGGCCAATGAGACTAGCCACTTTATCGGGCGATGCAAGTTCGACGACGCATCGGCGCGACGTTGTCGATCATCACGCGGCACGCAGTGTGATTTATTCGCTCGCTCGCTCGCGACGCGATGTGTGGATTGAGAAATTAGCGATAGGTTCTTCGCTGACCGATCATTTATCTTGCGATCTGTGTCTTCTCTTGTGCCGACCAAAAAGCGACTGCTTATTTCACTTCGCTCAATTCACTTTGCCGCAAGGGCGAAATTTCTGCTCGCGCGGCGAAACTCCCCGATCGTTGCGCGCGATGAGCTGTCGGGGCGCGCGTCTAGTTTCTCTCGATTGCTCGAAAGGTTTCGTTTAGCCGAAACGTCGCCTTCACGGATGATAATGAAGGGGGATTGTTCGGGCGACAGAGCGAAGCAATATGCAGATGTTTATTGTCGAGCGCGCCATGTGTCAGCCTGACGCGCGATCACAGTCAGTGATTTCGTCCCATGCGGTGTTCTAATTCTGAATTCTAAGTAAATATTTGCAGTCGTCCATAATTGGTGTGTGTGTGCACATGTTTGTGTGTCTGTGTGTGTGTGTGTATGTGTGTAAGTACACGCGCGCGACAAACTCGGAACTACGGTCGGAGTTCGTAATTATGGAGACCCTCTCTCGCATCCCTCGCGCGACACAGGAATTTCATTTTCCTAAGGCGCGAGAAAAGAACGTAATATCGCCACGGGCGATATCGCGATAGCGCGTGTGCAATATCGATATATTCCACGGCATGGCGAAATATTACGGAACGAAATTCGGTTGGTATTAACCTAGCGTCATGTTGCAACACAGTTGCGATGACAACAAAAAGTTCGCGCGATTCTGTCCGACATCGCGCGCGACGTCACTCTCGTAGCGCGCAATTTGCGAAGAAGCGCGCGAAATCGAGCGAAAAATCCAGCGAACAATTTTTTTTCATCCACTACACGCACAGTGAAAGGTATTCCAGTCGGGCAACCGAGAAATTTTCGAAGATACAAAACCGTATTTTCCCCGACACGGCTTTTGTGAAGAACAATACAAGCGATTCACGCCGAGAGAGGGACGAAGAGAATTTCGGTCCTCTCTTTAGCTATTTAGCCGCTATTTCGACGATTCGCGATTTCTCGAGCCATCGCGGTATTAAGAGACGTAAATAATTCGCCGGAAAGTTCCGCCAAGATTGGATTCGCCATTCGATGCGGTGATTCGCTCGGAACGATCACCACGCCAGACGAAGCGTGGTAGGCAAACCACAGAGCTTCGTTTACGAGTTTCGGCTACCGTCTAGTCAAAGTGCAGTAAAGTGCAGGCGGGACACGCGGGAAACTGCGGCCTAAATCCCGATACTTTTCGCGGAGACGGGAGATACGCTCGTCTAAAGTTAAACGCAAACGGGGACTTTGTTTCACACGGAGTCGCGCGCGAATCCGGAGAAATCGCGGATATACGTTCGCCCCACGAATCCGGTTGCTTCGCCGTCGAGACACTCTCTCGTCTCACCCCAACCCCCGCCACCTTTGCTCTTCGTTTGCTTGCTAGAAGAACGAGACGAGGGGAACGGAGAGTTCGCGCTCAAACGTCACATTCGGAAAACGCGAGTTCCAGGCTTCGTCGCAGTTTCGATGCACTTCGAGACGCGCGAGTGCGTCTGATGACGCTTCGAGAGACATTTTAATTCGGCTCTTCGAGAATTTTTCGTATTTCGCGTTTCGCGTTTCGCGTTTCGCGTTTCGCACATCGCGCCATTCCTCCCTTTCTGCCAAGGGCATCCCTCCGCGAGAGCTTTTCTTCCCCTTTTCCGGTACGAAAAGCCGAGAGTCCGACATTGTCCCGGGCGCATTCGTACGGCGACGTGTCGGTGTACTATCGCGTTATTCGCGACGCGAAACGTCTATTTCCGGTAGTCTGGAGAACGCTTTCGGCGCCGTGGAATCCAGCCGCTACCACCTCATTCCACTTCTCACTTCCAGGTGGTTGCGCGCTCGCACCCCCGGTGGTCCTCCATTCCTCCGCCGCCGTCGTCCCTTCCTTTCTCGCTCTCGCGTTAAGGGCGGAGACGGAGCTCTCGTCGGTTCTTCCGCGAATTAGGAATGCGTTTGACTTTGTAGTTTTAAGTTTATGCATTTGCGAGCGCGAGTGAACACTCCACCGCGTCATTGTGCGGGCATGTGAGACACGTTTTGTCGCGCGGTGACTCCATCGCGCCTAATTGTCTTCGACGACTGCGGGTCATTTGAGCAAAATTCGAACTGAAAAATTCCACGTTCCAATAAACAAATACCGCGGGGGTATCATTTCGCCTCGCCCCGCCTCGCCTCCTCGCCACGAGAAGAGAGCGAACGCGGACGTTTGGGAAATACGCGGCGTATCTCCGCGATTTTTCCGCGACGCAGCTCGGCGGGGCGGGGCACGGGGAGGGAGGGAGGGGAGGGGGGAATCCACGAGAGATCGGCGCGAAATCGCGTGTTCTTTAATTTTACAGGCTTCCGCCGAGAACCAACGTTCCTGCCACGCGTGCTCCCGTCGCTCTTTTATGCATTCCGCGACGCGCTTTATCGCGCCGGATGTTCCTCAAATCTGGAGAAGCGGTCGACGAGGGAGCGACTCGTGGCGCGGAGCGGCAAATATGACGGCTCGTTTCTTTTCAAGCGCCAGCGATCCATGCCGCCCTCCGCCGCGCGTCGCCACCCTTAATACGGGGCGGTACACGTACGTCCACGCCGCGCATTCTCGCGCGCGCGCGGCATGTGTTTATGCGCGCTGTCCCGCTGTACATCACGCATTATCTCGCGCACTCGTAACAGCGACTTTTCGCCAGACAATAGCGCCGCGATAAAGTTGAAATTCACGGACTGCGGCCGTGAATTAGTGCCGCCTTTAATTCCGCGGCTTCAGCTTTATACACTTTAGCGCGTGTTCCCCCGTTCGCGGGTAATTTCCCGGAGATAAAATGCCCGGCTTCGGACATTATTATATTCGAGCCCGGGCGAAATCAACTTTTTCGAGAGTACCGCAACGCTACTTTTTGAGCGTTTCATTAAGCTTAAGAGCGCGCTAATGTGCGCGCGCGCTTTCCTCCCCCCTCCCTCCCTCTCTCTCTCTCCCTCTCTCTCCCTCTCTCTCTCTCTCTCTCTCTCTCTCTCTCTCTCTCTCATTCTCTTTCACTCTCTCGCCACAACATCCCTTTCTCCGTCGCTGAGTCGCTTTTCATCGCACGCTTTTCACCCGGCTCTGCCACTTTGCATCTTCATTTAACCGGAGATTATTTGATACTTTTAAGTATATATTTCTGAGCACACGCGAGCGCGCGACAGTCTGGTCCGCTAACGTGTGGACTTTGGTTTATTCAAATCGATTTTACAATCTTTTCCTTTGCACGTCATCTGCTCTAATTCGAACGTTCATCTTGGTCGCAGAAAACTGACACGGTTATATTTTAGCAACGTTATTACAAAGGAAACGTCAACGGTAGCCCGTTCGACTTTTTCTCGGTTGTCTCGACGAGCGCTCGGGGAAAATGATTATTTTCACACAGCGGAATCGATCTCTCGTGAAATATCGCTGACTATCACGCTGACTTCACGGAGCCGCGCATTACACAATATACTTATCACGAATTATTAAAACGGCACATAAATCTGTCGCAACGCGATTCCACGCCCGACGGATAATATAATCCGCGGTGCGCGGATACGGCGGTGTTATCGGGGCTAACATGATTTAATTTAATTTAAGACTCACGGAATAAGCCTCCGAATGACCAACCGGACCGAAATGAGCAAATCTCGCACGCCGCGCCGGCGGAAATAATCGCCGCCGCGGCGACTGCTCGATCGAAATTGCGCGGGCAAACTTCAACGCTCAACTCTCACGATACATAATATAAACGACGCATAATAAGCGACGCATAATAAACTTCGGGCCGCAAACTCCCCGCTGCGGATTTAGACGCACGAGAATTCGAGCGATACGCAGAGCCGGCGCTGCGCTTTATATATTTTCCCACACTTAATTCCTTCATACGCCTTTCGTCGCATTTCGCGCTCGAAACCGCTAAGCGTCTGCGGTGGACATTCACTTTGATCTCGTTGCGCTCGCAACTCGCACACGGTCCCAAAGAAAAAGCGCGGCTAAGTGATTAACTTTCGTCGTGTTCCGCGGCAAACGAGTAAGAAATTGCGATCCAACTTCGCGACTCCAAACTCGCGCATTTTTATTGCGCGTATCTGTCGCTGTTTATTCTCGCGACTTTCCGGCTGAAAACACGCCGCCAAGTTCCCGGGATTATTATCGAGCGAAAAAGCGCGCCTCCCCTTTCTCCCCGTTCCCTTTATCCCACCCCCGTCGAAACCTTTCTGCCGGGTTCCGGCATCCGCTTTTTTTCGGACAGACTTTTCACCGGCTCTCTCGGATATCTCGGAATATCGTCCCGCTGTATTCTCCGGCGAATTCGCGCGTATAATTGGGAAGGATTCCCATCGCGCGCTTGCCTCTCGTCCTTGCACGGCGCCGCGACACGCTGGTTCTGTTAATGAGAAATCTCGGAGTTTACGCGACGTTTTCAACCATTCTTTTCCGCTCGACTTGCGCTCGCCGGAATGTATATATTCCGCGTCCCGTGATGAGAGGGTCTCATCTGGCTAAAATAGCACTCGCTCGAGCGTAATAGAAATACGAATGTAAAGACCCGAGAAAGAGAGAGGGAGAGAGGGGGAGAGGGAGTGCGCAAAACAAGTCGGAAAAAAGAGGGACGAAGCGAGTGTTGTAAAATCGGTTAAAACCAACGTCAACGTGTAAGTTGACGTCGCAAACTGCCGATGGAAAATTCGAGGAAATTCGATATATCGCGACGGGGCGGCCTTCAAACTTGATCCCACCTGCGATTCCGTCTTTGTCGAATGTTGCGCGAAATACTCGCCGCGTCTTTCCTCGAGCGGCAACGCTAACCGCGACTTTCGAACCGATTTTTGAACCTCTGGCAAGCAACTTGATCAAAAAAAAAAAAAAGCGCAACGTACGCTACGTTTTTCTTTGCGTTCGCTCACCTCGATGATGCTGATGCAGATCATGAGGTAGGGCGGTCGTATCCGGAAGCTCGGCTTCCTGGCTGGCAGTGGGTATCTGGGCGTTGGTCTGGGTGTGCCCTCATCGTCGCGCTTTTTTTTATAGGAGGACGTGACAATGATCGGCGACTCTGGGGAATAGGGAGAGCCCGGCTCCGAATACGTCGCGTCCGTGGAATCCGACGAGATCGTCGACAAGGTTGGCGAGTTCTCCAACAGCGCTGCCTCGACGTCCATCGTGGGCGTATCTGCTTGAACGAGCGAAAAAGACCAACATTATTCGTGCGAAACGGAGACGTTCAATATCGTTCGTATATCGGGGCAGAGGTGTTAATCCGAATCTCCCTTCTTCGGCGAGTTATAGGCGCCGCATAAAACGCAAAGTACGATACGGGAAAACTGCTTTCGCTACATTGAAACAGGACGCACGCTGCAACGAGCCAAGAGACCGACCGGGGAGCGAAGCGTCAGATGCCTCTAAAAAAAACCCGCCTCCAAGGAAATTCCTACAGATCTAAAATTTGCGAAAGTCATTCGTCGCATTCAACGGAGGAGAGTTTTCGCCTTTCTCACGCGACTCACGTCTCAATTTATAGCGCATCGGTCTAACTTCATAATCCTCCCCTACGGTTCCACACATCTCCATATCTCTACCCCCAGCTGGCTCTTTCTTTTCACCCTTCTCGCGCGCGGCCGAAAGCGTTCACAAAGCGTAATAGGATCAAGCAAGAGCATTACACGTGTTGTTTATCCGGACAAGAGGTTCCGCGCGGGCGAGCGCGCGGGGCAGGATACGACAGCAAGTTCCGCCGGCGGAAGAACAAGAGCGGGGGGGAGGGGGGGGGGCGGCGAGGGGTCGAGAGCGGGCAAGTGGGAGTTCAATCGAGCGACTCTACTAGGAGAGCTCGTTTTTATAAACTTGCTGCGCACCGTCTAACGACAATCACCGCGCCGCGGCATGTCCTGCAGGAATCCTGCTGCAGCAGGATCACGCAGGATTTTCGCTGCGCTCCCGGTACGCTGCCGCTGCGTCGCAATAAAGAGACGCCTTTTGGCGATCTAGTCCGCAGATATCGCCCCCTCCCCCGCCGAGAGGAGCGCGAGCCGGCTCTATAATTCACCTGCAAATCCCGTAATGGCGCGAAAGACGTGTTTCGCGGGGCAATTTGCGGAACAGCCCGTGCACGCTCGGATACGCTCACGGGGCGCGAGTTAATCTCGCCGCGAGACTACGTATCGAGCACCTGTCATGCGCGGAGGGTCGCGCAAATGCGGCCGCTAATCGCTAGGATCGCTCAGCGCGGGTTAACGGGATTTTTAAACGGGGCTGGAATGCAATCTCGACGAGACGCAACAACGCTTCGTAATAATTGAATTGTTACAATTTATTGTTGAACCTGTTAGCACGCGATGGATAACAAGACCTTCCACATCGTAATTGGGTCGTAATTGACTGATGGGGTCAGGTGCGTATTTTTCAGACGAGTGGGGGGGATGGTACATTTAATAATCGACTCTTCATTCGACGAAAATCGAACGTGAATATTAAGTGTAATATTTATTGCGCGCTCGCTCGCGGGGCCGCTGGCTCATTATCGGTCTCATTACATTACGTCTTGTATCTGGAATGCAATATAACGAATGCGATATCAGGAGTTAGATCTCTCTGCAGCGGCCACCGAATAATTCCGTCCCGCGCGGGCAATTCTTGGTGGACCTGCCGTGGTCGTCCTTCTTCCACGCGGCGGGCACGGAAAAATCCTCGTCGTCGTCGTCGTCGATCTCGTGATTCCCCCATTCCGCCTCGGCCTCAGCCTTGGGCTCTTCACGATCGGCGATCGGCTCGCAGTAACCGCGCGCTGATGGCTTCGTTCCGCGGGGACACCTTCCCATCGCCTCGACCCGCTCGTCGGAAAAATATCTACCGCGGCTCTCGGCTTCGTGAGACTCCTCGGAGACGTGGCGCGGCACGTCCTGGCTCACCTTCACGACGTCGCGCTTCAACGTACGAGCGCTCCTCTTCGGCTCGCGGCCATAAAGCATCCACGGGATCAACCATTTGTTGCGCAGAAGTGCCAAGGTCGACGGGGATTGAACCGCGAGGTCGTCCGGAAGTAGGTTCTCGGACGAGCTGAAAAAGTCGTCGCGGTAGGCCAGCGGAGGCTTCGAGTGTTCGTCGAGTGTTCGCACGAACGGCGGTCTGTCGTGGAAAGCGCGCGCGAGGTCGACTCCGTACGCTCCTTCCGGCGACGCTCTTCCTTCGTACATTCGTCGTTGATCCTCCAGCTCGGCTTGCTCGAGGCCCGACCTGCGGTTCCCGAAGTCGTCTATCCGCTCGGCTAGGGCTCTGAGGGGCCCGGATGTCAGCTTGAAGATCGGAATCCTCACGTAAAACAACGGCGTGTGTTGTCTCGGCGGCGGGCGTCGCGGGGGGTAGTTTTCCTGGGCGAACGAAGCTCCGCGGTACAGCTGGACCGCCAGCAGCAGCAGCAGCAGCGGGATTCCCCGAAGCGCTCGTCGGGGAATCGCCATTGCGAGCAGGAAGAGAGAAAGAGAGTGGCACCCGGACTAGCGATTTCCGATCTGCGCTCTGCCCGAACCGCCGCGACGCGCCTCTGTTTTTATAATCGCGCTGCGGATCGTAAAAGACGCGTCGAGCGCTTAAACGCGCGATAAGGCGGTGAATAATAAATCAGCAATCAGCTTCGTGGCCAATTACAAACCGCGCGTCACGCTTGTCACCGGCGGCCGATTAATTCCGCAGGCTCGGCCGCGTCTGAGATTATAACAGGCTAGACTCTCATTCCCGGACTTTGGACTGTCGCTTTGGACCGTCATCTTTTTTTCACCCTGTGGAAGCTGTTATTATATTGAAAAGAGTCATTGCACGAGATTGTACAATTATATTATTACACTACGCGCCCCGCTGCACCCGACTAGAAATTTTGGTCAGGTTCACCTAACGCTGATAAGGACTTAATAGGGTGAATGAAAGGTAACCTAAGTAAGTCAGTCCTAACGTCCTATAACCGTAATGTCCTAACGACAAATGAGTAAGGAAGACCTTTATAAGGTTATAATGATTGGGTCCACATTAGGACCTTAATGTACCAACCTAGTGTACGATATAATATGGTTCAGTTAATCAGGTCCTTGTCGGGAGTCATTGTACCTAATATGATCTGCATTATCAAGTTTTAACAAAACAATTTTTGAGTGTCATTTCCAAATATAAAGATATTTGCATTGAAAAAACACTTCAGATCACTTGAATATATTTGTAAAATGCTATAGAAACTATCCTTTTTTTTTAGCAGTCAATAAATAGTTGTAAAATTAATGTGACATGCAACTTTTCTCTTTAACTCTCCACTTTATGTCTTGTCACCTTGTGATATTTTATGATCTTACGATATTCATTTTATGTTTCTTTTTCGAAACATTTTATAAGTATGCTCAAGCGATCTAAAATATTATTTCATGCAAATATCTTTTTATTTGGAAATGACATGAGAGAATTTTCAGCGTGTCATTTCTTATTTCTATTGTCATTATCCAATATAGCCGTGGCGAGTAATCAGGAGCCATAATTTGAAAAAAAAAAAAAAAACGTAATAAGAATTCCATAAGGTAACTTAATAAGAACCTGACTATGGATTCAGGACTAAGATTCTGATTCATATCCACGCTGCGTTACATGACTTACTAGGACCCGATAGTATTACCTTATTTGGGACCTGATGTCCAAGTGAGGTTAACCTGTTCAGGAATGAATGGATGGAATAAATTTCTAGTCGGGCAGTGGCTGCCGAAGTTCGCATCGAGGCTCAGCGAACAGCCGGTCGCTCGTCCGCCTTTCCCGGCGCTGGAAATTTCAACAGCCGTTACGTCAAATTATAACGCGGGTATAATAAATTACACGGCAACGAACGTCGATCGCACCGCTGTTATTCATAACGCTCCTCTGCGGAGCGAAGCTCTTCTCGGGGGTGTTTGCGCGGCTTCGCCGAGCCGAGAATCGTCGCTGGCGATTCCGCGAGCAATTCCAAGCTGCGGGTCTAGCGAGGCCAACGGCACTTTCTCTCCCTCCCTCTCTCTCTCTCTCTCTCTCTCTCTCTCTCTCTCTCTCTCTCACGGCTCGCCGGCTTAAAACTCGATCCCGCGCGCTCCGGAGCGAAACAACCGAGGACGCAGCGGAGGCGGGGGCGGCGTCACCGCCGAAATCGCTGGTTTTCGCGGGCATCCGTGCTGGGTTTCGCGGTGGCGGTGCGCGGCCACCGAAACTCGGCGAGCCCCAACAACTCAGCGGCGAATTCTAGGCTGACCCGAAAACACGATTCGAACAAAGACAGTTAACGGCCGGACAAAGAGGTCACGGGAGACGGCCTCGGCCAGGCTGAGGGTGGCGGCGGTAGCAGGCCACCGCAAGTTCTCCCCGTCCCTCCACCACCCCCCGGCCGCTTCCTCATTCTCCTGCTTTTGCAGCAGACTGATCCAGCAGCGAACACGCATCCTTGTTCGCATCCTTATATTCGCCTCTTCCAGCGTCTCGTCGTCCTCGCTCGTCCACATCCCGGACAGGCTCATTCGCCAGACTCGCGCGCGCCGCGAATGCGCACGCAACGGCCGTCATTGTCGGACAAACGCGAAACTTCACCTCAGTGCACCTCCGCCACCGCCGCCGGCCGTCGTAAATGCGTACAAGCCCGTGTTTGCGCGCGTGTTAACTCCGCGACTCGGCTTCTCGGGGGACCTCAGCGGAGCCCGGACGCGCGCTGGTATTCGCCCTCCCGCACCGCTCCGGCCCTCGCCGCGTCGCGTCGGCCACGCTTCCGCTGAAATGTTCATTCTCCCGCGGATTATTTCTGCCGGCGGAAATGAGGCGGGTAATAACGTGCCTCTTTTGAATGATTCCCGCGTCGTCAGCGGCGGATCGAGCGAGCGAGCTCGACGGTGTGCCGCTGCCGCCGCGCTCAGCCTCGTCCGTGGGAGATTACAATCCCATTTGCGAGCGGCTCGGTAGCGAGAGACGGCGATGGCGCACATTTCACGGGGTGAGACGTCGGCGAGTCGGGTAGTGCTGGGACTCCTCGTTCCGCTACACTCCACCGCAAGGTCTTTCGTTCCCGCGAGGCTGGCCCAACGCGGGGGTGTGGCCGCACGGCGCGCGCGCGCGCGCGAAAGCGGAAGCGGAAGCGCGCGCTGGACTTTCGACCGCAGGTCAATGAATGCTCGTTCGCGGTTACCT